TTCTTGAAAAAGCCTTATTATGACTTAAGGCTTACAGTACTGGCACTAGAAGAAAAATGACAAACAACAACATAAGTTCAACAATGTGCATCAAATATGCATTGTTGAAGATACAATTCACAACATGCTCGGGACACATGTTGTTAAAAATTCTAATACAATGTGCAGTGACCGCACGTTGTCAAAACTATCCATATAACAACGTGCGCTAGTTGCACGTTGTCAATTATTTATACAACAACATTCCACGTGTTGTAAATCTTATATTTTTAACAACGCTCTCCTCACGTTGTCGAAATTATAGCACTTAAAAAAATGAAAACATTTTTATTTCTAAATAAAAAGGCTTCACAATATAACCAATTAACCTCTCTCTCTCTCTCTATTTCGAAACCCTATAATAAATTATAGCACTTAAAAAAAATGAAAACATCTTGTTGTTTGCTGTTTTGCCACAAATTTGTTTCTTATCTCGTTTATGCTGTTGTTCTATTTTGCATGATTAGTGACAAACTTTCCAAGCCCAAATCATGATGAGGCCCAACTTTGCCTCCATTAGGCCCATACTCTATTTAGTATTTCTAAAGTGTTGGTGCTTATAAACCATGGAAGGAAACAACTCCCTTCCAATGTGGGACTAAATGCAAGTGTATTTTTTATATACAAACTCTAACAATGCCTTCAGATGTTAAATTACAATAAGTATTCTATAATATGTAGGCTCATGCCTCTTTTATGGAAGGGAGCTTGTTGTTTGAATAAGATCAAAATTGGGACACGACATTAATGAATTTGAAAAGTTCCAGCAGTTCATCTTTATCTCAAACTATATAGTTTTTCTTTGCTCCAAAAGTTCATTATTTTTTTGTGCTCTAGTGAATTGCAAAACTCATCATTATCCTTGTTAAATGGTATTGCAGGAGTTGGAAACTTAAAGTTTTTTCCTAGTTTGATTGACAGTAAACCTAGCAAAGGTATGTGATTAATTTGATACTGATGTATCCCAACTCTATTTATTTGACATTTTAAGTTTTGGGTCCGAGGAAAGTCTGTCACTAATCATGCATTTCTTGTTGTTGCTTGGAGCAGAATTAGAACCATATACAAGTCTATAGCTATTGGTGCATTGCTTACAAAAGAAGTAAAGGGAACTTTTGAATCTTATTGAAAATTTTAGAACATGCAAGGTATAATAATGTATGTATTATTTTGTAAACTTTAATTATTGAGCCCATTGAATTTCAGTTGTATTTTTAGTATTATAGTTTGTATCAAACTTCAATTTCCTACGTCTTGGGATTGTATTTGAAATGATGAAAAATGATTACATGAAACTTGTCATTGAATGTATAATTCTTTTGCCTTGTTACAATATGATGTATGTGGTGTTTTATGTATGAATTAAATTTAAGGCAAAGATCATGTGGTTGTACTAAAGTACGTGGAAACTAATATCGAAATTTTTATAGAAAACTGAGAAAGAACCAAAAGACAAAACTAATTTTGTATATACATATATATATTTTTATAGAACATATAACGAAAGACAACGTGCATTGCATGTTGTCGTAAACGGTTTAACAACGTGTATTGCATGTTGTCAAAAGCATATATTTACCGCAACGTGCTGTGAGCGTTATCCTAAAAGATTTCACAATGTGCAATGCGTGTTGCCAAAATTCGAAACCTTTAATGACATGGGCTTTGACAACGTGCATTGCATGTTGTCGAACCCTTTCACAATGCACATTGTGCATTGTTAAAAGGATTTTTTCATGTAGTGTAGCCATTGTCGATTGCAATCCGTACGGGCTTCAAATGCCTTTCTATTATAGATTTGGTTCGGCTCACAAATCATTTGGCAACGTTAACATAGCCACCCAATATATTAGATAGTTGAGAGTGAGGCCTTCAGATTTAGAAAAGTACAAAATTAATGTGGAAGGTAAAGATTTGGGAAAGAACGTTGTCTACAACAAAAAAAAACTTATTGGAATAAGATTTTGTGAAGATGGACGACAATTAGGTTAGTGAGATAAAAACAATGTTGGAGATTGGAAAGAGTATAAACATTCAAAGTTTGTATTGCAAAGGGAGTTGATATTTGTCAATGGAATTCTTTGCCAGAGCAAATATTGTATAAAGTGCTTAAAAGGCTTATTTTGAGAATAATTATAAATAAAAAAAATCTATTTTGACAATGTCAAAGCATGATAAAGATGTCCCTGGCAACAAGAATTTATATATGTCCCTTCACTTCATGGTTCAAGATTATCTTCAAGGAGACGTATTAACTCAACCAGAGGTGCAACATAATATTGATATAGAATTCATCAAGAAGAACATTAAGGATGATGAGACAGATTTTTGCCCATTTCCCACAAGAAAAAGAAGTATATGTTGAGGTGTCCAAGCTCCGAGGGGAAGACGTGAAATTTTTTTATAAAAAATAATCGATTACCATCCAATCCTTCAAAGAAGAAAAAAGACTTTGAATTCAATGTGCCTTCCAGAGGTAAGATTTACACTGTCTTCAAGCATCACTTAGATCGTAGGTTGCTGACCAAACATGATACAAGACATTCCTCATTTGGTACAAATTCGTAGTTATGCATATCTACCCTTTTCGTTTTGTTGACTATATATAACCAATGCTTCATCGGTAAACCACAATACATTAAGAAGCATGAGATTTATCATATTGACACTAACCAATTAAGAGTGAGTACGATGCATATGGAGTAATTGATGACATATGTTGCATGCTAAGCCGCACAAGGCCGAGTCTTAGGGCCATTTCCGACTCAACATGTAAGGTTATTGGGCCATTTACCTTCGTGTGCGATGATACTCCTCATCAGTGGCGAATCCATGATTCAAAAGTCAAGTAGGCGAAACTTACCTTAAAACTCGATGGTATGAGTGAATTTCATTCATAAAAATAAAAAAATACACCTAGTTGGGGGTGACGTAATGAGCCTTACCTTCAAATATGCATCTCTATACATAAATAAAAGCTATATATATATATATATATAAAAACAAGTAAATACAATGCAACACAACACTAAATATTTACATCTAAAACTTTATCCTACGAGGCTTAGAAATCTTAAATTCCTCAATTATCTATATATTATCGATACTATTAGCAAACTCTCTTCAATGTGGAGGATCATGCAATCAGCAAGGAATTCATCATTTATGGTACTCCGAAGTCTACTCTTAATAATTCTCATACATGAAAAAACTCGTTCATTTGTTGCCGTAGAAACAGGAAGAGTCAACATCAACCGAATCAACATGTAAAGAAAATGGTACTTTTCTACCAAAGTTGTTTTCACCAATTGTTGACATAATTAAGGAAGAGTGGTGATTTCCTTAAAGCAGGGAAGGCGATACATATCATTTTGAAAATACCTCAACTCAATTTCTAAAGCATTCAAGTCACTTGGAATGAAATCAGTAGGATAGAATTTCTCAGCAGGTTTATATAGATGCTCAATATTGAATGACTTGAAGGAATTACAAGGATCCAATGCTGAGCTAAGAATAAGAAGTTCAACTATTTTCTCTCGAAATATGTCATTTAACTCCCTCAAGATACAATTTATCACATCATTAAATACATCAACGCGATAGTAATGTTCAACTGTAATAACAAAATTTTGTTGACAAGAACGACTTGTGCCCGTCATATAACGAGAACCCATATCAGGAACGTCAACACTATGTAGTTCACAAAATAATACCAAACTCATGAATAAATCATCCCAGCCATATGCCCTTATATCTTGGAACAACATTTTTGTATTTTCAACAAAATTTAAAGAACTTACAATATCTTGAATTTTTGTCTGACATACTTGACAAAGAAAGTTGGTCAATCCCATAATTTTATCCATCAAAACCAATGAAAATACAAACTCAAAAGACATCGTAGCAATATAGTTACTCTCTGTACCACCACGAAATTGTTGGTTAGGTCCATAATCACTGATTTCCTGATGCAGTAATTTAATCTCTTTAAATAAACTTATTAAACTTGTAATGGAGGCAAAGTGAGAGCCCCAATGAGTGGCTTCAACTCGTTTCAAACTATGAGTTTGATTAAGTCCTCTACCTGTCTCAATTTCCCCAGAATCCAACTATATGAGTTCAGCTTTTTGAATTTAATTTAACTCATTACAGCGCTTAGATTATGAAGAAAATTCAGCATTAATTATTCAAATGCAACTTCTCAAAATAATATATCTTAGTCCAATATTTATAAAAAATTTTGTCCTCTATGAATCTATTTGTAAAATTGTGCAATTGATGTATATTTGAATTTCAATTCCTCAAAGTTGTTGTTTGGTTGAGCAGGGTCAACTGATCCCTCATCCTAAAACATTTCCACCAAGAATTAAAACTCTTGCTATTATATACATGAAAAGGACTCAAGCTTGGAATTTATTCTGATGCTGGCTAGGTTGAAATTTTTATGTATTATCTTATTTAGTGTGTTATGCTCATTACAACTTCCTCACTATTCATCACTATTCCACAATGCTTGTGGCTTATAGTACTGTCATTTCAAGTTTTGAAATTGCCGACTAATTAATGGTTGGAAGTATATTGTAGTGTTTGATAAATTAAATAGAAAGTTTTTTTAAATTTTTTATTCAAAAAAACATTTAGTAGTGCCAAAAAATGTTGTTATTCAATTTGTACAAAATAAATAAAATTTTCACATAAATAAATCTACCAGTCTATTTTCCTTGCATGCTAGCTACTTGAGATTTGACATCAGTTCATTAATTGTGCAGCTTTTACTAATGTTTAACATTTATTATTATTATTATTATTATTATTATTATTATTATTATTATTATTATTATTATTATTATTATTATTATTATTTTGAAAATGCTTACAATTTATTTAACTAGACCATCTCCATCTTCTTCAAATTTCTCATAATAGAGCAACCACCATTGCATCACACCAAAAGAGAGAGGATGTACAAGTCGAGGCTGCATGAGCTGTGTCAGCAGAGGAAATGGTGCTTGCCCGAGTACAATGCCACAAAGCTTGTCCTTGTCCACAACCCTCGTTTCTCAGCCTTCATCACCATAAACGGCGCCGCCTTTGACATGGTGCAACTCGTCATGTCCTCCAAGGAAGCCCAAAATGACGCCGTTAGACTTGCCTTAGCTCACTTCACTGATCTGCAACCCAGACAAACCAATCAACCTTCTCTACCCGCTTCCTCAAGTAAAACGGTTTTAGGGTAACTTTAATCTTTATGCTCTGTTTGGTTGCTTAGAGAATTTGGTTGCTTTTAAGTTCTTATTTCTTATTTTTCTTGATGGAGAATAGTGGTATTGTTTTTCCCCCATAAGCTCTTTTGTTGTCCTAAAGCCTATTTCTATACTATCGATGCCTTAATGTCTCGTAATGTCTTCGATGGGATCATGTCATCTATTGTTAATTTCTTTTAAATCCAGCACTATATTTATATGATGATATGATGTTTAACACAAAGATGTACAATCTATTCGAGCATATATGGTTATATCTAAGATATAAAAGGATGCCTTAAACAGATAGCTAGCGATGACATATTTTTAAGCCTAGGTTTCAAATGTCTAAAGGAGCTCTGGTTATAAGGAGAATAGTGCTAAAATATTAATATGGTTTGAATACTTTAGGTTAAGTTTTATTCTTCTCCATAATGAGGTATATATAGGAATTTACATCAGTGCTTTACAAGGAAATAGATACATTAATTAATTAGGATAGTATCACCTAATTATACAATGATTTGTCAACTATATAAAATAAGAAAGTAAATCCCTTAATTAATCAAGGAAGTAAAGTAAATCCCTTAATTATTCAAGGAAGTAAATCTCCTTGATTAATTAGGAGACTCACGTCAACAAATAGCAACTACTCTTTTTTTATCCCATAACTTGAATTTGTGTTGTGAAAATATTAACATTTACCTTTTGCTTAATTGAATTTTTTTTTTGACGTTCTTTATCTGATATATTTGCTCCATATAACTTCACTCACAAAGAATGTCCCAGTTTGTTTATCATTCATTCAAACTATTGTGTTGGAAGAAAGAAAAGATTCAAATTATATGCAGTTTATTCAACAATGTGTGGTATACATCACTGTCAAGTATAGATGCTGAAAATATAATTCCAGAAAACTAAGTTATTGAGTGTAAGCTCAAGATTTTGGGATACGTATGTATACTTTGGAACTGCTATGGCATGAAGTTCTCAAATGCAAAACATTGAAAAAAATCTCCATACTGTCAGAGATTCACTTTTGGTTTGAAATTCGATGATCTGTATTCAAATAGAACTAGAGTATTTATACAAGTGGTGATTACTTGGTCTCCAAGTACATTCCTATTTGGGTACAATTACCTATAATTACATGGAATTACAATATCACAATAAAGGGAAAATAAATCACAGATATTGGAGTGCCTGATTGTGTGCAGATTTATCATCATCTCAATTATCCCCTTGCAAGCTGATGTGCGAAGAGCGCAACAGCTTGGATTTGAGAAAGGCAAACCGAGGAAGAGGGAGACCCTTGGTAAAAATGTCAGCCAGCTGAGTATGGGTGGAGACATAACGAACATGCAAGGAGCCAGCAAGGACAAGTTCACGAACATAATGATAATCCACAGCAATGTGTTTGGTGCGTGCATGAAAGATCGGATTAGAAGCAAGAGCAATAGAGCTTGTGTTGTCACACCAAAGCAAAAGAGGTGAGGGCAAAGAGACATGTAATTCTTGTAAGAGTTGTTGAATCCATGAGAGTTCCATAGCAGTGAGAGCCAATTGACGATACTCAGATTCGGTACTAGAGCGGGAAACGGTGGGTTGCTTCTTGGAGCTCCATGAGACAAGGTTGGAGCCAAAGAAAATACAATATCCCCCTATAGAGCGACAATCATCGGGATTACCAGCATAGTCGGCATCAGAGAAAGCAATCACAAAAGAGTCACCAGGACGAAAAACAAGGCCATCATGAGAAGTGCCAAGAACATAACGTAGAATAAGCTTAACAGCTTTCCAATGAATATCAGTAGGTTGATGCATGAATTGACAAACTTGGTTGACGGCAAAGGAAATGTCCGGACGGGTGATGGTGAGATACTGAAGTGCACCAACAAGACTGCGATACTCGGTGGGATCCAAGAGAGGAGAGCCATGAAGATAGCTAAGTTGAGAACCAGTGGCAACCGGAGTGAGACAAGGATAAGCTTCATGTAAGGTGGCCCTTTTTAGAAGATCAGCCGCATATTTGGCTTGATTCAAACACAACATATCCGGAGTATGTTGGACCTCAATGCCCAAAAAATAATGAAGATCCCCCAAATCTTTCATTGCAAACTCACGATTATGAGACTGAAGAAGGGCGTTAACCTGTGACAAAGCATTACCAGTAACAATAATATCGTCCACGTAAATCAAAAGGAAGAGAAAATTGTCATCTTTATGAAAAATGAATAAGGAAGGATCTGCCTTGGAAGCCGTGAAACCTGAGTGAATAAGAAACTCAGAGAAACGGGAGAACCAAGCACGGGGAGATTGCTTGAGACCATAGAGAGATTTCTGAAGGTGACATACATGATGAGGAAATTTAGGGTCTTCAAAACCGCGGGGTTGACACATGTAAACCTCTTCAGACAAGTAACCATGAAGAAAAGCATTAGTGACATCAAGCTAACGGATGGGCCATTGCCGAGAAAAAGCAAGAGAAAGAATAATGTGAACAGTAACATGCTTAACAACAGGACTGAAAGTTTCCAAGTAGTCAATGCCATATTGTTGATGAAACCCATTGGCCACAGGACGAGCCTTATACCGTTCAATGGAACCATTGGAGCGGCGTTTGATACGGAACACCCATTTGCAAGGCAAGGCATGGCGGTGAGGGGAGGGAGGAACAAGATCCCAAGTATGATTGTGATGAAGGGCTTGGACCTCTGTGAGCATAGCCTGGCGCCATTGATCCGATTTGTTTGCTTCTCGGAACGAGGTAGGTTCGATCTCAAATACCTGCGAAAAAACAAGATTTGCATATTTGGGATTCGGTTTTCTAATCCCATCTCTCAAACGAGTGACCATGGTGTGGGTAGTGGGAAGGGAGGGGGGCGGGGATGACTCAACTGGAGAAGCGGGGACATCAACATGAGTGACCGTGGGCAAAGGAGGAGGAGAATGAGGAGGCTGTGAGGAAGGAGATGGCGGTGGTGGAGAAACAACGGGAAAGGAAGACACGACTAAAGGTGGAGAGGGAGGCACCGGGGATGGAGGAACGGAGGAAGTGTGAGAGAGAGCTTGAAACGGAAAGGTAGATTCATCAAAAACAACATGACAAGAGAGATAAACACGACTAGTTGAAGGATCATAACACCGATAACCTTGGTAATTAAGAGAATAACCTATGAAAACACATTGTTTACAACGAAATTGAAGTTTATGTTTATTATAAGGACGCAGGTAAGGAAAACATGCACATCCAAAAACACGAAAAATAAAATAGTCAGGACAACGACCAAACAAAGATTCATAGGGAGACAAATAATTTAATTGACGGGCGGGCAAACGGTTGATTAAATAGGTAGAAGTATTACAAGCTTCAACCCAAAAGGAAGGGGGCATATGGGCGGTGCCAAGGAGAGTAAAAGCCATGTCTATGAGGTGTCGCTGTTTGCGTTCGGCGGCTCGTTTTGTTCGGGTCTGTGAGGATTGGAAACACGGTGAAAAATCCCATGAGTACTTAAGTAATGCTGGAATTGGTAACTAAGGAATTCAGCCCCCCCATCTGTTTGAAGAGATTTGATTGTGCACACACGGTCAACAGACAACAAATTTTCCACCAATATCCTAAATTTATGAAAATAATCAAAAGCTTCATACTTAAAACGCATTGGAAAAACCCATGTATAACGAGAGTAATCATCAACAAATAATATAAAATACTTAGAACCTTTATTAGATAAAACGGGAGATGTCCAAATATCACAATGAATGAGTTGTAACGGAACAGTAGAAACAGAAGAAGATAATTGAAATGGTAAACGACTACTTTTGCCTAGAGGACAATGAGAACAAAAAGAACTCCGAGGAGAACCACGAAGGGGAAGGTGAGCTGAAAGCTTCTGAAAGACAGCAGGAGATGGATGACCTAAGCGTTGATCCATACGGGAGAAGAAGTACGGATACCAAGGAGGGCCACAGCGGTGGTAGGAAATGAGGAGGAGGACGAAGGAGACCGGAACGGGTAGAGACCATTTTCACTCTTGCCGTGGAAAAACGTCTTCCCCGAGACGAGATCCTTCACATAGAAATCAGAGGGGGTGAAAATAAAATAGACAGAATTATCAAGAGCAAATTGATGAACACTAAGTAAATTATGAGATGCGGAAGGACAATGAAGAACTTTATTTAAATGGAATTGAGAGATGGAACCAGAACCAATATTAGTTATATGCAAACCTTGACCGTTACCCACAGAAACTTGATACGAACCACCATAAGTTTGAGAGAGCTGGAGATGAGCAAGGTCATTTGTTATGTGAGTGGAGGCACCACTATCAGTAAACCAGGTGGATGACGGAGTAGGACTATGAGAGGCAACCATGGCTTGAGAAGCAACAGGAGGGTGAGGACAGTGACAAGCCATATGACCATCACCACAGTTATATCAACGACCGTTAAAACCAGGAGATGAACCATAAGACGGAGAGGAGAAACCACCATGGCTAAGAGCAACGGGCATGGAAAGGGGAGCCTGATAAGGGAGAGGAAGGATGCCTTGACTAGGAGAAGAACCGGGGCCAGAAAAACCACCACGGGAGCCAGAGAAGCCGCCACGACGACCACCAAGGGAAAAGGAGGACCCACGATTGGAAAAGCCATGGCCACGATTAGCATAAAACACTTGAGTGGTAGAATCAGACGTCATGGAAGGGGTGTATTCAGCCATACGAGTCTCAGCAGTTAATAAAAAGGTAATAACATAATCAAGAGCCATAGGAGGGTCACGAGACTGAATAGAGTTGACGACACTCTCATACGCCGGTCTGAGACCATTGAGAATAAGGTCAATAAGATCATCATCATCCACGGGTTTGCCAGCAAGAGCCAAACTATCAGCAACAGCAGTCATTTGATCGACAAAATCAGTGATGGAGGAGGTACCGCGTTTGGTGGTTTGCAGCTGGTGCTTCAACTGAAGAATACGAGAACGGGACTGAGAATTGAAACGTTTCTCCAAAGAGATCCAGGGATCACGAGCTGTAAGACAACGAGAAACTTGAGAGAGCACGCCAGGAGTGAGGGTAGAATTAATCCAACTGAGCAGTTGTTGATCAAGTTTATGCCAATCTGCATAAGCAAGATTGGGGTGACGCCATCAGAGGCGAACTGAGAAGGACACGGATTTGTTTGATCAACATATCCGATTAAACCAGTACTCTTCAACAGGGGCAAGAACTGAGCTTTCCAAATGATGTTGTTCGTACGATCCAATTTGATAGAAACAACATAGGAGATATTAGGAAGAGAGACCATAGAAGAAGCAAGAGGTGTCGCAGACAAAGAGGAAGCCATTGGAGAAGATGGAGGGGATGAAGGAGGAGTATTTGTATGAGAGGGTTCAGCAGAAGAAGGCATATGTGGGCAGAGAAAAAAAAACACAGAGAGAAAACGCAAGGAAGCTAGACTAGGGTTTATAGCTCTGATACCATGTCAGAGATTCACTTTTGGTTTGAAATTCGATGATCTGTATTCAAATAGAACTATAGTATTTATACAAGTGGTGAGTACTTGGTCTCCAAGTACATTCCTATTTGGGTACAATTACCTATAATTACATGGAATTACAATATCACAATAAAGGGAAAGTAAATCACAGATATTGGAGTGCCTGATTGTGTGCAGATTTATCACCATCTCTATTACATACAACTTTCACATCTTTAGTTGTGTCATTTAATGTTAATTGCAAGCGATGAGCAAAACAATGCACATAATACACATATAGACAATCTTGAAGAAATAATGATTGGAATCCATTCCATGAACCACACATATTACTAACACCATCATACCCTTGGCCATGCATGTTTTCCACTAGAATGTCGTTATTATCAAGCACTTTGCATATCTCTTTTTTAAGAGTCAAGGCATTAGTGTCTACAACACTCACAATATCGAAAAAGGGTTCATAAATAAATCCATCACAATAAAAAAAAATCCTAGAATAATAGCCATTTGTTCCTTACCAGATTCATCAAGTGATTCATCAACAAGAATACAATATTTGTTATTCCCAAGTTTGCTAAAAATTTTCTTCTTCACCTTGGTAGCAAAAATGTGGAAGATCTATTTTTGTATGTCATGGGCATTATACTGAGCATTATAAGGAGCCTTATTTAGGACAACATTCTCAACTTCTATATTCATTCTTGCAAAAGACTTTAAGATATCAATGAAATTGGCTCGGTTAGATGAGTCAACGGATTCATCGTGACCTCAAAAAGTCAATGCTTGATTTGCTAGATACCTAAGAGCACTCCACCCCTATGGGCAAAGGTAAGGCAATGGCTGTCACTATACACATGAATAGTAGCAGTCCTTGCAATTTTATTTGCACCCCTATGGGCCAGGGCAAGGTCAATTATTATTCACTTTAATTTATTTTCTATCTTTATATACTTAAATAATTAATTTTGATAAAAATTTCGGATAGATTTTCAGTTGCCACGTGTCATTATTTATTATAAAATTCTCATCTCAAATTTTAGATAAAATTTTAGGATTCAATTTTCGAATAAGATTTTCAATTGCCATGTGTTCATATTTATTATAAAATTCACATCTCAAATTTCAAATAAAATTTTCGGATAAGATTTTCGGTTGCCACGTTTCAATATTTATTATAAAATTCACATCTCACTCATCATACAATTGAAATACCTACTCACTCATCATACAATTGAAACACATACTCACTCATCTTACAATTGAAATACTTTCTGTCCTCATAGTCCGACACAATCGAGTACAAGGATGACTAAATCATTAGCGAAGGCAGTTCCATTAGATCATAACGTGGGGAAGTATTTTCCTTCAAAGGACGTAATAGTGCCATTATTTCCGACATGGAGCGCACCACTAGAACCGACTACGAGCATTGTTCACTTGAGGAGCCATGTGTAATGGTTTTCCTCTTTTTTGTTTTGCCTTGAAAGTCTATTAAAAAAATGAAATTGTAAATGCAAGAAAATATAAATTTTTTTTAAAAAAAGACATTAAATTGAATAAAACGGCAATTAATATTTTTTTTATACCTCATCACCAGGATTTTGACTGCTTCGAACGTTTGTCAACGACCCTCCCCAACTTTGATGGAAGATGCCATTTGTATTTTTACACAAATAAAATTTTGTAGTTGAAAATTTGGTGTGGAAAGTGAAAAATATTGGTAGGTATTTATAGAAAAAATTTCTAGATTATCTAGATTTTTTTTTCAATTTTTTTAGCCAAAAATTGGGTAGCCGTTGGATTGGATGACATTTTTGGATTGGAGCCTCCAAGAGAAGCCACATGGCTTGCAGTTGTTGGCTTTTGGCAACGCTGACGTCAGCAGCCTAAAGGCATGGAGACGGGTGCTGGAGCTGCTTCCCGGGCCTAAGAACCCTCCTGCCTGGGTTAGCCTTGCACGCTGGACTTGCTCTAAAGCCCTCTATTGTGGTTGTAAGTCGAAACTGATTGTCCATCACATATTGTTTTAATTGCTTATCTACTACTGTTTCAATATGAAGAGATGAGTTTTTTAAGCTAACCCACTTTTGCATAGCAAGATGATGTGGTGAATTTAGCTTACATACATAACATTGAAATACACATTGATTGCCACTAATTCTCTTCCAATTTTGAAATCCATGAATAGTAAAGGTTGAATATGAGTGAATCATGTCAAATAGGAAGCAAGGAAAACAAAATGCCATATCTTTAGCAACTGAATACTCAAGCCAAGGGAATTTACGAAACCACAATTTATTAAATCGACGTAAGTCTCGCCTTTCTAAATGGCTTGGATAATCTTCTAACCTCAGTTGACATTGTCCTAAAATAATATAGGCTTTTCGCACATTATCTTGATCATTCATCGAATATTGGCATATTTGACTACGTAATCCCGGATCACTCTCAAGATAATTGATATTAAAATCTTGACCTAACTTTCCGAACTCTTTTATCCTTTATCTCAATCATCCATTTTTTGAATCCCAAGTCTGAAGGTCATGCTCTAATTTCAAGCTTGTATCCTCTATCGCCCTCATCGTTGAACGAAATTTCTTTTCATCAACTGGAGTTCTTATCTTTTCAATTTCCACACGTAAAAGTTTTGCTCTTTTGGTTAACCACATGAAAGTTTGATCAATCAACTGGTTGTGGTTGTATATACGTAGAATAACTCATTTTGTCATTATTGTTTTATAAATTTGGAGAAAATTGAATCTGGATATTGATTGGGTTTTTGAGTTTAGCTCTTCACTTGTAATTTCTACAATTGGGTTTCTTGTTTGCTATTTTCTGTATTCTTTTCTTTTCTTCTCTTTTTTGGGTTGTTTCAATTTTGAATGATTTCTTTGTCGAGATACTCATTTTGTTTTTGTTTGGACAATGATTTGTTGAGTAGGATAGCGTTGGAGGAGTTAAAATTTGTATGAGTATTTGTAGTTTAAGAAGCTTTCATGGGTTAATGTGTTTATGTTCTTCATTTTAGCAAATGAAAGATATTGAGGTTGCAAACGATTTGTTTACTATAGTTGTGTATTGTTGTTTGTTGTGGGTTTTGTTTTCATTTTTCTATATATATTTATGTTTTGTTTATGGGAAATTAAATTTTTTAGTTTCTATTTTTGCCTTTGTTGGTTGATTTGGTTTATATTTTTAATTGTATTATCTGAGATTTAAAGACGGTGCTTTACTGATAATGTATTTCTATTTACAGTCGTTACAAGAAGTCAATATATCAACTTAAATGACGGAGGTGCATGCATACTTTCGTATATACCAAAATCCAAACAAAATACTCTAGTTGGTCATGTCCTTGATAGATTATACACATCATAGTTGACAATAACTTATCTCTTGGAATTTTTATGTACTTGCCATTTCTATTTTGTAGGTTGTCCTCTGACAACCAGAGCAACACAATTGGTTTTGAAGGCCCATAAAGAAGTTATGGATTGGAAAAGCTTGCAGCAATAGTTCTTACTACAAATTGGGTTGCTTTGGAAATGTTGTTTACAACATAGTTTGTAAACGAACAACCTATGAGTCCAATTGTACTTTATCAGTTCTAACTATGATATTATATGGATTATATGTTGGAATTTTAAAAAGGTTTTAGTATAAACCGCTCAAAGGCTTATTTTGAGATTTTTTTTTTAAAAAAATCTATTTTGATAATGTTGAAGCGTGATAAAGATGTCTCTGCAACAAAAAATTACGTCTATCCCTTCACTCTATGGTTCAAGATTATCTTCAAGAAGATGTATCAAATCAACCAGAGGTGCAACATAACATTGATCTCGAACTCATCAAGAAGAAATTAAGGATGATGAGTCGGATTTTGCAACTCTCCCACCTTTTTTAATACAAGAAAAAGAAGTATATGTTGAGGTGTCCAATCTTCTCGATGAAGATTGAATCTTTATATAAAAAAACAATCGACTATGCCGTTCAAAAAAAAAAAAAAAAACAAGTCCAATATGCCTACTAGAAGTAAGAGTTACATGGTCTTTAAGCGTCACTTAGGCCATAGGTTGCTAACCAAACATGATACAAGACGTTTCTCCTCTGGTTCAAATTCAGAGATATTTATGTCTACCCTTTTCTTTTTGTTGACCATCTATTACAAATGCTTCATTGGTAAACAACGATATATAAAAGACTGTGAGATTTATTATATTGATACTAACCAATTTAACAGTGAGTACGATACATATGGAGTACTTGATGACGTATGTTGCATGCTGAGCTCCATAAGGCCAAGTCTTAGGGTCATTTCTGACTTAACATGTAAGGTTATTGGTCCTTTTAACTTCGCGTGCTATGATACTCCTCATGATTGTTCTATGAGTGCTCAGGAGATCCCATCTTGTCATTGTATAGTCTGTACTAATTGTAACAACTGTGAGACATCATTCATCTTATTGGTTGAGAAGAATACAGTGTTCCATGAGAATGCTAAAGGCATTATGGTGTCCGACAAAGGATATGGTGACATATCTACTAAGGTATTCTTGAAAAAACTTTATTATGACTTAAGACCTCCAGTATTAGCCATTGTCGATTGCAGTCCATATGGGCTTCAATTAATTTTTTACTACAAATTTGGTTCGACTCACAAATCATTTAACAGCGTTAATGTAGCCACCCCTGTACATTAGATGGTTGGGAGTGAGCGTGCGACCTATATCGGGCAGTCGGGGCAAGTGCCAATCCTCGATGAGTAAGAGGGCGTGGCGGTTGTTGCAAAAAATGGGGTGTTAGCCTGGGCAGAGCGGCCTTCGGTGTAGATCTTGGTGGTAGTAGCAAATATTTAAATGAGAACTTTGAAGGCCAAAGAGAGGAAAGGTTCTATATGAACGACACTTGCACATGGGTTAGTCGATCCTAAGAGACGGGGGACGCCCATCTAATAGCTTGTCTCATGCGAACTTCGAAAGAAAATCAGGTTAAAATTCTTAAATCGGGACGTGGTGGTTGACGGCAATGTTAAGGAGTTCAGAGACGTCGATGGGGGCCTGGGAAGAGTTTTTTTTTTTTTTTTTTTTTTTTAGCCTACCCATCTTGGAAAAGGCTTAGCAGGAGGTAGGGTCCAGCTGCTTGAAGAGCACCGAACGTTGCTTGGTGTCCGGTGTGACCCTGGCGACCCTTAAAAATTCAGAGGATCGAGTACTATTCATGCTCGATCATATTCATAACCACATCAGGTTTCCAAGGTAAACAGCCTCTGGTCGATGGAACAATGTAGGTAATGGAAGTCGGCAAAATGGATCCGTAACCTAGGAAAAAGTTTTGGCTTTGAGGGCTGGGCACGAGGGTTCTAGTCCTGAACCCATCAGCTATCGGTGGACTGCTTAAGTTGCTCATGCAAGCCATCGCGTGCTTGCCAGGGGACAAACTGGGAGCATTCCTTTGGGGACTTTCCCCAGGCGTCGAACAGCCACCTCAAAACTAGTATAAATAATGCTAACACAATGTGATTTCTGCCCAGCACTCTAAATGTCAAAGTGAAGAAACTCAACCAGGTGCGGGTAAACGACATGAGTAACTATGACTCTCTTAAGGTAGCCAAATGCCTCGTCATCTAATTAGTGACACTTATGAATGGATTAACGAGATTCCCATTGTCCCTGTCTACTATCCAGCCTTTATATTTAAAAAAATACAAAATTAATGTGGAAGGTAAAGATTTGGGAAAGAATATTGTCTCTACAAAAAAAAAACTTATTGGAATAAGATTTTGTGAAGATGGATGACAATTGGGTTAGTGATATAAAAAATATGTTGGACATCGGAAAGAGCATAGATATTGATAGTTTGTGTGGCAAAAGGAGTCGATATTTTTCAATGGAATTATTGCCAGAGAAACTAGATTCAAAGGATTGGATGTAGAGGAATAATATATATGCAAAGGTGTTTAGTGAGTGTGTTGGCTTTGCTAGAAGAGCTATATATTATTGTTACTTAAGAAAGGTTCAAGCTGCGAACTAGCTGCTTGATATCAATATTGTGGACTTATTGTTTACTATAAGCGTTGTTAATTCTAGATAGAGTAGAAAAGTTAGATGTATTTGATTAGTACTATGGGGGCATAATCTAAATTTGAGGTTAAAGTTTGCTAGTAATAGGCCGTTGGCTCGTCTATCTGAAACTTAACAAGGTATGAGAGTGGGTTGATTGACTCGGCCTAGATTATTTGGCCTTTACCTTTACCCCTTACCCAACATGTGGTGTTTGCATGCTGGCCTTTACTCAATATGTGGTGTTCACGTGTTGGGGTTAAATGATTGACTCCGATGTTGACTTGGCTCCACTTGTGGCCTACTATGTGGTGGTCTCCCGTGAAGGGGCGTGTTGAAAAATATAAAGTCCCACATCGAAGTCTTGACTAAATAAATAATTAAATACCCTGAATAAATATTGTAGTCGTGGAAAAATAAAGGTAGTTTTTGCACCACTAGCCACTTTACCAAACCAATTAGGGCCAATTCTCACATGTTTTGCTGATCATAAATCTTCCATTTCAAGTGCTCGGAAGTTTTCATTTGGAGGTTTTGTTTTTATTGGCGATAGTGATGTTGATTGTGCACCTAGAGAAAATGGGGACATTTTTATGTTTATTATGTCACCTTGACTTGGAGTATTTGTGCACTTGTGTTATATTTCCTTTATTATTATTATTTTTTTTTAAAAAAAATTTATGCTCTATCAAACTAAGTTTTAAGTAATCTTATCTTGATGGAAACATTGGGCTTGGGCCATTTTAACATATTTAGGGCCCGTTTGATAACCATTTCAGTTTTAATTTAATTTTCATTTTTTGTGCTAAAGTATAGAAAAAAAAAGAAAAAAAAGAGTGAGAATGGAAGTGAGAATGAGAGTGGAGATGGGATTGAGTAGGGGTGACATTTTAGACCGAAAAACAGCAAAAATCAACCGACATTTAACCGCAATGGAACCGCAATCGCGAGAAACCGAACCGCATTTGCTGTATGAAGAACCAAACCACATTTGCGGTTGCGGTATTTGATTTTCACAACTTGCGGTTACCGCAAATCGTGACTATATTTAAAAAATATATATATATATTGCATTTTATTGTATATAGCATTGGTACTCAAACAACACAACGGGGTCCTTCAAATCCACTCACCACCACCAACACTTGAGTTTGTAACATTGGTACATTGCATTTTCCTTTTAGTTTGTAACTTTAATTAACTTTGAATTGGATTTTTCCTTCGGGTTGTAACTTTAATTCATTTTGCATTTCATTTTCCTTTTGATTTGTAACTTTAAAGGATTTGGAATTGAAATGCTTGAGAAGTTGAGGTTGTGAATGCTTGAGAAGTTTAACTTTAATTGGAATGCTTGGAATTGTAACTTTAATTTTCTTTAGGTTGTGAATGCTTGAGAAGTTGAGGAGGTTGTGAATTTATATATGCTTGAAAAGTTGAGGTTGTGAATTTATTTCTTTAAGTGTGAATTTATATTTTTGGGTTAAAGTATGCTTGAACTCAAAAGGCTTCAAAAGAAGCATCAAAACTAGGCCTAAAATGTGGAAGATTGGATTTTTATGACATAAAAAAATTTACGGTTTTAAACCGCTAATTCATGGGAACCGATTGCTTTTTGCGGTTTCAAAAATAACTATACTGCAAATAGTCGGTCGGTTTGCGGTTTGGGCAAAAATTCGTAGTTACCAAACCGCAACCACCCCTAGGATTAAGAGAGAACATGATAGGAGAGGATGTGAGAGTGAAGTAACAAAAGTTAAAACAAAAAACTGAAATCTATTTGAAATTGTTTTCATTTTCAAGTTTTTGTTTTCACTTTTGTTACTCATCTCTCTCAATCTCATCCTCACTTCCATTTTCACTCTCATTTTCCTCTATACTCTAGCACAAAAAATAAAAACTAAAAACTAAAAACTAAAATTGAAATGGTTATCAAACGAGCCCTTAGTTTTTGTGCTTGATTTGGGCAATTTTCTTTAGTATATTTCTTCTCTTTGAGTTTGGATACTTGGGCTAGAGTTTCGTGTGCTCCTATTTTGGGATGGAAATAAGTTCTTCTCATTTATTTCTTATTTTAACAGAGTGATTTTTAGTTTTTACTGGTTTTATCCATTTTCTTCTTGTCGAAATTGTCACCCAAAAAAATAGATGATGAGCCACCAAACTTTATCACGATCCTCTTATCCTACTGCCACAAACAATAAGTCTGAGCTTTTAGACCGAAAGAAAAAAAAAACATTTATTTAAAAAGGAAAAGAAGAACTGGCAAAACCAAAACAAAAAAAGGAAAAAGAAGAAAAAGCGAATTTAAAACAAAAAAGAAAAAAAAACACGATTGCAGAAGTAGAGGCAGTGGATCCGAAACCGAAAGAGCTCCGCATCTGAGATCACTTTACACCGCCAATTACCCAAACTCTTTTGTCACCCATTTTCCCCTTTTCTCATCAATGCTCTATCGGACTTCGTCGTCTTCGTTCACCCTCCTCTTCTAGACCTCTGCTCCCGCTCTCTGTCTCCTCCGATTAGAGTTTCTTCGCTTCCTAACTCAGGTGAATCCGTCTACATACTTGTGTATATCGTGATTCTTGATATTTATTCTGATCATGAATTCATTTATATGATTTCCTTCAACTTACTGTTAATTGTGAACTTGAGCTTGTCAGCATTGATTGGGATTGTTTATTTTTATCAATTTTGATTTTGGAGTTCGATTCGGGAGGTTTGGAGTCTTGAGCTTTGTTTGATTGTTGAGAAATCGTGGGAAATCACTGTTTTTGAAATCTCTCCTGTGTTTTATTGGCTGCCAAACAGAGCATTTAGGGTTTATGGTTCTCCAGCTTCAAATTAGAGGGGAAGTTGATTGAACTAGTCGATTTAGGGTTTATTGTATGTCTTTGGTTTATGTATTGGGAAAGTTGACTTTGTCTCAGTCTCTGACAATTCGGTGATTGAGTCTTGCAGATTTTCGTATTGCGGTTGAGAATTCGAGTGTGGGAAAATGACGATGAACGAGCGTAAGACAATCGATTTAGAACAAGGATGGGAGTTTATGCAGAAGGGGATCACAAAGCTGAAGAACATTTTAGAAGGATTGCCTGAGCCGCAGTTCAGCTCAGAGGACTACATGATGCTCTACACGTAATCTTTTATCGATTTTGTTGTTTTTGTTGTGGTACTCATTGTCATTTTTGTTGGTTCTGTATGCTCCAAAGATTAATGTTGCTGATTGTGTTTTTGTTGTCTTTATTTTATTTGCAGAACCATATACAATATGTGCACTCAAAAGCCACCACATGACTATTCACAACAGCTCTATGACAAGTATAAGGAGTCTTTTGAAGAGTACATTACTTCGACAGTGAGGAAGCTTTTAGCTATTTTTGTTTTGTTCAATTCCCAACTCTTCCTACTGTGTAATATAGGTTGCATTGTTTACACTGTCACGAGCTCTGTTTTCTTAGGGTTTAGGCCTCAGATTGCATTTTTGTTTTGTTCAATTCCCAACTCTTAACCCTTTTTAAGCCTCAGATTGAGATTCTGTAATCTCCTGTCCTAGAACTATTAGAATTAAATTTATATTGATATGATATTCAATGTGATATGTGTAGTAAGGGCTAATGTCTGCCTTGTGGACAATAGTTTTTTTCCTTCTTTTCACTTACGGATGCTCTTTGTGATGCCTATTTCTAATATAATTTAATGTTATATGCTTAGGTGTTGCCATCTTTGAGAGAGAAGCATGATGAGTTCATGTTGAGAGAGCTTGTGAAGAGGTGGACAAACCATAAAATCATGGTTAGGTGGCTCTCTCGTTTCTTTCATTATCTTGATCGCTACTTTATAGCTCGAAGGTCGCTTCCTCCCCTAAATGAAGTTGGACTTACTTGCTTCCGAGATCTGGTAAGTCATGTTGGAACCCTTACTCATCTTATATCATGTTCTTTGGTGTATTCTTTGGATTGCCTCTTGAACCATAGCCCAAACTGACTTCCATATACCCATTTTGATACTCCCATGTTGATACTTTCTTTTCTCTACTATCTGTTCTCCTCCCTCTTCCCTAACCTAATTTTATTAAAATTTGAATGAAAGATGTCCTCCAACCCGATCCTTTCACAGCTTGATGAGGTTTTGTTGTGTAATAGATTGTAATATGATGGACATATGATTGTGGTTTTCAGGTCTACCAAGAATTAAATGCGAAAGTAAGAGATGCTGTAATATCTCTGGTACGTTTTCAATTTTACCAGAGCTGCATATCCTGCTAGCGAAGTTGTGGAATAAATATAATTGACCGTATTTTTTCAAATCAGATTGATCAAGAACGTGAAGGAGAGCAGATTGATCGAGCTCTATTGAAGAATGTTCTGGATATATTTGTTGAGATTGGAATGGGACATATGGATCACTATGAAAATGACTTTGAAGCAGACATGCTTAAAGACACTGCTGCTTATTATTCGCGGAAAGCTTCCAACTGGATCCTAGAAGATTCTTGTCCAGATTATATGCTGAAAGTAAACTTCATTATGTTTTATCAGGTTAAAATGTATATGCGTCTATATGAAATTATCACCTATGGACTTTGTTCTTTCGAAATTTCAGGCCGAAGAATGTTTAAGGCGGGAGAAAGATAGAGTTGCTCATTACTTGCATTCTAGTAGTGAGCCGAAGCTGCTTGAGGTTTGTACTTTATTATTTCTTTAAATTCACCTTGTACGTATATCTAGTCTTTTGGAAATTGTAATTCTAGGTGAGTTGGAATACAGTTATCTGTAGAATATGAATACTGGCTGTTAATATTGTTATTATTTTCTTAATGTAGAAAGTTCAACATGAGCTGTTGTCTGTGTATGCAACCCAACTACTTGAGAAAGAGCACTCTGGATGCCATGCATTGCTGCGAGATGACAAGGTACTCTCTGAGTCTGTTAAATTTACGGATTTGTTGATTAGATCGAAGAAAATCAGAAAAACCAGACAAATGTTGCTTTCTTCTTATCATTTTTCTTCTGTCCGTTTTAGGTGGATGATTTGTCTAGAATGTTCAGGCTATTTTCTAAGATACCTCGAGGCTTGGATCCAGTTTCAAGTATATTTAAGCAGGTTAGCACTCTTCCTTTGTTTTTTTCTGGGTTATCTGGTGTGATTTATATTTCATTTTCTAAACATTACATGGCATGCCATGATGCAGCATGTTACTGCTGAAGGAACAGCCTTAGTCAAACAGGCGGAAGATGCAGCAAGCAACAAGAAGGTTTGTGCCCTAACCTTCATCTGGTACAAATTATTTGCGTATGTCACAGTAATCGACAGTTAAGTGTACTTGAATGCTGACTTCTTGTTCCCCCCACAGGCGGAGAAAAAGGATGTGGTTGGTTTGCAGGAACAGGTAATTTCATGAAGATTGCACATCTAGAACTTTTGATTTGCTTGAGTGAAAGCTAACGTGTTTGTACTTTTCAGGTTTTCGTTAGAAAAGTGATTGAGCTTCATGACAAGTATCTAGCATATGTCAATGATTGTTTCCAAAACCATACTCTTTTCCACAAGGTTTGTATTTTAACAAGGTATTAAGGTTCTTATTGTCTCCTACTTGACTACATATGTGACATTTTTTTTTTTTTTTTTTTTTTTTTTTTTTTTTTTTTTTTTTTGGGGTCAATGTAGGCCCTCAAGGAGGCTTTTGAGATCTTTTGCAACAAGGGTGTTGCTGGAAGCTCAAGTGCGGAACTACTTGCCACTTTTTGTGATAACATCCTTAAGAAAGGCGGGAGTGAGAAATTGAGTGATGAAGCCATTGAGGAGACACTTGAGAAGGTCTGGACTCTTGATGTGCCATTAGATTTATTTATGTTACGTAGAAATATTATTTTATTTTTTATATTGGATAAACAATATTCATTAATAAATGCCAATCAAACTACAGGTAGTGAAGCTGCTGGCGTATATTAGTGACAAAGACCTATTTGCTGAATTCTATAGGTATCACTTCTATTTTTCAAGTTGCTTCATTTCAATCAAATATGTTTTGGGGAGGTCTTAGATGGTTACATTAAGTTTGAAACTAGAAAACATTAGATTAACTTTAGATGTTTAATTGATGGCAGGAAAAAGCTTGCTCGGCGTCTTCTGTTTGACAAGAGTGCTAATGATGACCATGAGAGATGTATCTTGACAAAACTGAAGCAACAATGTGGCGGTCAATTTACCTCAAAGATGGAGGGGATGGTCAGTTGCATTTGCTAATCCTTCGAGAAATGTTGTTTTGAATGTTCTGTTCATGTATTTCTGGGTTGCTACTGGGGATCTGACCAAAGAAAGAAAAATTGGTTGTTTTGTTTGCAGGTTACAGATTTGACATTGGCTAAGGAGAATCAAGCCAGCTTTGAGGATTATCTGAACAGTAATCCACAGGCGAATCCTGGTATTGATTTGACAGTTACTGTGTTGACCACTGGCTTCTGGCCAAGCTACAAGTCTTTTGACCTCAACCTTCCCGCAGAGATGGTACACAGATTCTACTGAGAAAATTTGAATTTTTTTTTCCAAATAAAATTTATATCTGCTGGGTTAAGTATCTGATGATGTTGCTAACTTCTCATGGATCATCCTTGCTTTAGGTTAAGTGCGTTGAAGTTTTCAGGGAATTCTATCAAACAAAGACAAAGCACAGAAAGCTTACGTGGATGTATTCACTGGGTACTTGTAACATCAGTGGGAAGTTTGAACCCAAAACCATAGAGCTTATTGTGACAACTTATCAGGTGATGTGTTCAACATTTTATTCCAACTTTCCTAATCCATAGATCTATTTTTCATGTTTTTTTTTCAGGTTCTGAGATACAGTTTCTAGGAGAGATTTCTATATTTTCTAAGACTGATTTCTCTTAATCTTACTTTAGGCATCAGCCCTGCTGCTATTCAATACCTCAGATAGATTGAGTTATTCAGAGATCATGACTCAATTAAACTTGACTGATGACGATGTTGTTAGACTGCTCCATTCCTTGTCATGTGCCAAGTATAAGATCCTTAACAAGGAACCAAATACAAAAACTCTCTCTCCTACTGATTACTTTGAGTTCAACTCTAAGTTTACTGACAAAATGAGGAGGATCAAGGTACTTGGATCTTTTCACTGTCTCGTGTTCTTTTCTTGTCTTCTAATTTTGTGGTTTATGTGAGTGATGAGTTATCACTGTGTTCACCATGCAGATTCCCCTCCCACCTGTGGACGAGAAGAAGAAAGTAATTGAAGATGTTGACAAGGACAGGCGGTATGCCATTGATGCCTCAATTGTGCGTATCATGAAGAGCCGTAAAGTTTTGGGTCATCAGCAGTTGGTTATGGAGTGTGTAGAGCAGCTTGGTCGCATGTTCAAGGTTTGTGTAGTACTTATTTTTCTGCTCTTATAAGATATTGAGATTTTTTTCTTGGTTCTAAACCAGTGGTGTTTATTTCACTCTCCTTCTCCTTCTTTCAGCCTGACTTCAAAGCAATAAAAAAGCGGATTGAAGATCTAATCACAAGAGACTACTTAGAAAGGGACAAAGATAACCCCAATTTGTTTAGGTACTTGGCATGATGTGGTCTAGTTGATTATCCTTGAAAGGAAGCGGTACCTTTTTCTGCTATAGTTTGCCCAAGAAGTGGGTCAGGCGGTGGAAGAAGTGGCACAATCACATGTAAATGCCGGTGCACCAGTGACTAATAGTGATTGCTTAAAGCATGAGCTGAGACTGCTTTGTACATTTTGCCCTTGGAGCAAGGTATGGCTGGCTACTATAGATAGTGCACCCTTGCTGGAGAAATTTGTAATTGACTTCATAATACGGTCCAGTGTACCACAGGACTGTCTGGTATCTTTGTTTAATTACCGCGATCTCGGTCGTCCCATGACTACATTTTCCGTTAATTGTTTCTTCACCCCCACTGGAAGGAAAAGTGTACTTTCGTTCCCAGTATGTCCACTTGAGTTGTGCAAACTGACGATGGAATATAAAATTGATCAGGTGGATGCGTTCTTCTTTGATTGCGAAACGCATGGCTTGTAAACTCTGAATTTGTCTATAATCAACAGATGCTTATGCACTTGTGCTTCACGAGTTGTTTGGTCTGAGTCTTGTATATTAGTTCAGGTGATGCTCTTTTTTCTTTTCTGAAGTCGATGAATTTGAATCAGAATTTTCTCAGGAATGTTTTCGTTTTTTATTCAGAAAAGTTAAGACTGGGAAGAGAATATTCGGTAGGGATAACCCGTTTGGACTCTTCCTCGGATAATCCCAAAATTAAAAACCACTCATAATCTCAATTTGCAATTGGTTCCTCAAGGCTTAATGCTTGTGAGAGTCGAGTTAAAAAAATATAAGCAGTGGGTTTAAAAATGATTGCTAAAGGAGTTGATGTCATAATATTTGGTATCATTTCAACCCCGACACTGGGAGAGGTGGAAGCACCTTTCTCTTAGAGATTTGCATTGTTGGTCATAATATTTAAAACATGAGTGCTGTTTTGACCAAGTCGACACGCAATCAAATCTTAATATTATATAAGCACTGGTGGGACGCCGAACAATTAGGTTACGCAATAAATCAATGTGGAACTTTTGTAGGCTTTTTCTAGGAGGTTCAATGAATTCCCATACCAACAACATGCCAAAGTGCAGAACGGTAATGGAAGTGGAGCTAAGCAAAATTAGCGGTTCTCTTTCACAAAGGGAAAACCAGAAGTTTTTCTCATGAATGCCAATTTGGGTCCCCATCCCTACACTAGTTCTGAGCCTCCTCTTCCTCTCATCCCATTGGTGCTTACTTTTTCTAAAGCCTGCTCATTCTCAGTACAAAATCACTTGTTTATTCATGTTCGGCATTTGCAACTTATAAAGTTCGCCAAACTTGGATTTTGGGACCCATTTGCTGAGATCACCCGCCTACAATTATGCCAACCAAACAAAGGGTTTCTTGAAAAGGATGCTTAATTGCCTTCGGGGGAAAGAGGGGGTGAAGTTTCCACAATTGCTGATGCTAATGGCCAAGTTAGAAAGAACCAGAACAAAACTTGCGTGAGCCCTTTGTTTTTTGGGTTTTGTAGAGAATGTGGTACCAACCTTCGGACCCAAGACCACTAGGAGTTAGTGCAAGCGCACTTTGGTTATTAGTACTTAGTGCTTAGTGGGTTTCATTTTGTCAAAAGTCATAAAATGTGGTTAAGCTTTGCTTTTCTTTTGCTCCTCATGCACGAGTCTAGGCATAAGGTCACAAACTCAGAGATTTTGTGTAAACTTACGGCTCTTGTCAGTCTTTTTCTCTATAATTTATTTCATGGGTTTTCTGATCAATGTGGAAGGGAGAATTGAACTTAAGATCTCTTCTAACACTAAAAATAGAAATATCATGAGATTAAGAGTTAATCAGACTTTCAGGTCTCCATTTTTTAGCATTTTTTAAGGATATGAATGATATTGGGGGAGGAGGAAATCGAAACTAGGAGCTCAGATGCAGGAGTATATGCTCTAAATCACTTGAGTTACAAGCCTTTTAATGTCTTAAATAGCTTGCTACCAAATGGTACTTTCTCACTCATTGACTATTCATCGATAAGAAATGTTAATAAAAGATCTATAAAGGGTTTGATGAAACTCGGAATAAGAACACTTATTGGCACTTTAAAAAAAAATCATCACGCTTTCGTCCAATATTTATTATTGTAAAGAAACTACACTTAAATGAGTGCATGAGGACTTTTTTGAAGTGTCAATAATAGTTCGTTTCTGAATTCTCTAAAAATTACATGCAACCATTAAATTGTATATAGAAGCAAATGGGAACAGATTCTTGAATGTGTACAAATTTCATTAAACCATGTCTTGGTTAGTTAATTAATTTATTCCACTAAACAAATTGCATCAATTTGCTTTTCTTAGTGACATTGTTCAAGTTGCATAGGTCATGCTTGATTTATTGGTCTGAATTTTCTCACGCAGGTACTTCCTTTGCCAAGTAGGTCTCCAGCTTTGTTTTCACTTTAGCATTATTTTATTTACACAAAGAACTTTGTAGTGGGCACAGAGCAATTACAAGCAGTCAGCAAACAAACCTTGTTTCCTCTGTTTACCTCACCTCTCATGTCATGAATGTTTGAGCTTAGCTTTGTGCTCTACTTGTTAGCACTCACTTGTCATTTCAGCTTTGAATCAACCAACAAAAAAAAACAAAAAAACCCATCACGCCACAACTTGCTCAGTGCTTCTTCTTTCACCCCAATAATGTGAACAGCAAAATTTTCCAGACATTTCCCACCATTGAGAAAAAGCTCACCCTCTTTTCCCTTCGACAATGGAAGACCGGATTATTGTTGTCCATTTTCTTTTGGTGTTTGGTCTTTGATTCCTCCATATGATTGCATTGCATGCTTCTTTCTTTGCATATTAAGAATCTTATATAGAAAACAGTAAAAAGTGTCATTTTTCTGTTTGATTCTTGTTTCCTTGTGCTTACAAGTACTGCTAGTTCAATGAGGCCATCAAAGACACAGACAAATTGACAAGAAAAGCTTGTAAACACAAAGACCCCACAAGTCTTCAATTGATTGGTAGGCTTGTACAAATTGTGTTGCACATGAACAGTGCAGCTCAATAATTTGCACTTGTTTGACATACATAAGCACCAACTAGCTTTTTCTTTTTGGGCCTGAAATTTACAAGATATGGTGAACTGGGAACAGATTACAATGATACAGTGTGTACAGAGTTTAATGATGGGGTGGGGGACTAAATGGGGCCTTTTTTAACTAGTTTGAGTTTTTGGTTTTAAATCTTGGCAAACTCCAAGGTTTTCTTGCCTTGCAACTTGTTGGTTACATAGTGTTTACTGTATTCTCCATGATTGTATCTTCTGTACTTGCATGGGTTGTTTTCATCCACCAATTCTTCCATAGGTCCAAGCTCTATCTCATAGCTAGGAGCATAAAATGTCACAATTGAAAGGCGGTCTTTCTCCTTATGAGTCACTGCTCTGTGCTCCACACTCTTATATTTCCCATTTGTAAGAACCTGCATTTATTTTGATATTAGAAACGAATATATCCCAGATACGCCAACAGGGTCTAGCCCAATGAAAAAGTGCAGACTTGTAAACCAATGGTTTCAAGTTTGAATCCCCATGACACCTTATGGTGTGTGTGTGTAACCCTTGTAGTTTAGACTATCGCTCGTATAAAAAACAAAAATCATAGATACCAAAATTTGAAAAAGAAACTATAACAAGATCAAATTGAAGATATTTTCTCACTTCTATGGTGTCACCAATGTTGATTATGAGTGCATTAGGGATGGGCTTAACAGGAACCCATCTGTCATCTTTGAGAATTTGAAGTCCTACTGACGTGTCCTTCCCCTGCTGCAGCACTGTGAGGGCACTTCCGTCTGAATGTGGGCTTAGACCTAAAACAAGGTCAGGTCTTGAACATGGAGGGTAATAGTTCATCCTTATGGCTTGCACAGTCTCCCCAAACATCTTTTCAAACACATCACCTTTTAAGCCAAGGCCCATGGCTATGTATTTCAGCAGATTCTGGCACAGTTTCCTTACTTCTTTTGAGTAAACCTCTACAGTTCCACTTTAGTGGAAGAAAAAGGTTTAGACTTTACACTTTAGACTTAATTAAGAACAAGAGACTAATAAACTTCGAAGCATAGCAAAACTTTTTACCTGAACTTTTCTGGTTCTGTTGGCCATAACATGGGGTTCCTTATAAAGTTGGGTTCAACCCCAAGAGCAAACATGTTGCACCAATCCAGCTTTTGGTCCTCTGATAGCACAAAGGCCTGCCCATATCCCTGAACAGTCCCAGGAGCCATTGCATACTTCTTTTTCTCTTCCAAAGGTAGCATGAAGAAGTCCTTAGTCACTTTCTCTATGCTCTCAAGCAGACTCAGATCAATCCCATGATTTATCACCTGTTATGTACAGTCACCACAGATCATTATCCTCCATTTGACCATGTTTTTCAAAGCCAGTAACATAAAAAACTTTAATGTAAATTTGTACCTGGAAAAATCCCCAGTTCTCACAGGCAGCTGCAAGCTGAGAACTTTCACTTTCGAGTTCATCTTTGCTTCCTTTTGAAAGCTTTGAGAAGTTGATTGTGGGAATGTCACTAGAGCATGGCATGGCAGGGGCCAGAGTTGGCCTCTCAGCCATGTCCCTTACAAATCTGTCAGGAATTATGGTGGGCTTAGTCTTTCTCAGTTCTTGGACATCATCAATGTGGCCAACCTTGATGGAGGAGATGGGTATTGGGGCCATGGAAGCACAAAATTTGGAGGCAACAAAGTTAATGAAATCCTATTGATTGCTAGTTCTACTTGGTAGCTCAAGTGCTGTGGAAGCCTGTATTTATAGGGAGAGAAAAAGCATACATGTAGGCAACTTTGTTTAAGTGGCTTCTATTTAATATTGGTATTGTTGTTGCATCAGAAATTGGTTGTGTTTTTGGGGACCTACATTATGCACTTTACAAATTAAGTCATACATGTATCCCATTAGACCAGAGGCTCAACCAAATGAGTAATGACAGGCAGGGTATTGGTTAATATCAAAGTTTAGGTACGAAGATTTGATGGACATGGTAATGGAGGTATGAAAATTGTAAGAACATTAAATTTTAGGTACAAAGTAGACACGAAAAAAAAATTCATGTAGCAAAGTTTGAATCTCGTAAACTTATGAGTAGTATAATGAAATTTATCCTATTTATTTATTTATTTATCTTCGTTATGAAACATGTGATGTGATGATGTGATGCAGTAGAATTTTCTTCTGAGAGAAAGGAATCTGACAGTGGTGGTAGTACACTCAATTGTCTGTTGTGGCGGACTTATATGGGTGATATTAGTAGGGGCCTGTCCCAATTGCTATTCAGATGCCTTCATTTTTGGCAGACCAAAAAAACAGTCTTGTCATCATTTCTTTCTCCACCTAAACTTATGAATCATAATTTGACATATATATAAAAATAATTTATTAAAAACCGATAAAAAAAAAGTTTTGGCAATAATTTGCAGAAAAGGAGGAATGTCTCCTTCTACATGAAGGAGACAAATACTTTCCCATTTATTTTATTTTGCTAATTTGGGTTACTTAGGGCATTGTAGTTTATAGAAGGCAGGAACATACAAGAGGTCTTTGTGTTAGTTTTCGTTTTTGATATGTTTTTTATTTATTGGTCCATGACATATGTGGTACTCTTTTCTCCTCTGGAATTTGTCTCATGAGGTTGTCCTAGGAAGGTTTTAATGAGACCACTGTATCATATCGCTCTTTATACGTCTTTGATTGTATAAATGAATTCTCTTTCTCAAAAGTGGTTAAATTTAGTGAATTTGAAGAAACCATTTGGACTCAAAAACTTAACTAGGAACTAGATTTCGGTTTTAGACATTTTCAAATTCTGAATGTGCCCAAGGTGAAGTCCAAAAACATAATGAACTAAAAATTGCCCTAACAAAATTTTAGGAAAGGATAGTGGATGAGGAATTGAGGAAAACGCATAGGGGAGAAATTCCAAAGCATACATAAATAGATATGTAGCTATTATACTATGCTACTTAGCTGAGCTTCTTGTTGCTTTTTTTTTTTTTTTTTTTTTTTTTTTTTATGGACAGCAACCTACCTTTGGATGATTGTGCATTCTTCTTTTTTTCTGAAAAGATAGAAGACTTGGGCACTATCAATCAACCTCCAATTAAATGATTAATCTTGTTGTTTGCGCAAGCATTGTGAGCCGGATATATCAAAAGCTAAAGGCAAGGTAAGGTTTCACGTGCTTCCAACTCGGAATTTACTTTTTCTTTTTTGTTGTTGGAAGAGATACTTTATTAAAAAATAATAAGCACTATAAAAATGTATAGAAGATGACACAACTCGGAATTTAAATGTTTATGCCTTAATTGTATTTTTGACTCGACATTTACTTGTTTACGCATTAATTGTGTTATTTAACTTTATTTAATAAAATTTCTTTAATAAAGGTATTTTTAAACAATAATTGAATTACGATCCCATAAATTAAAACTTTTCTCTTTCAAAGGCAAGGACGATATAACAGCTACGACCAATCCGTCGTCGTTTAGCTGTAATACGATAACATAACCCAGAAAGAGCTTCCATTGCGAGAGCGCGCGAGACAGATGAGAAAGCCGTTAAACCAAAATCTCATTTCTGCCCTCACCGCCTCCAACCTTTCCCGCCAAAATCAATTGTCACCTTCTCATCTCATACAACAGCTCCGGAGCTGCAAAGATTCCGATTCTGCAAAGTCGTTACATTCCAACGGTATAAAGTCTGGGTCTTTATACGACACATTCACCACCAACCATCTCATCAATTGCTATGTCAGACTCCAAAGAATTGACCTTGCAAGCCAGTTGTTTGATGAAATGCCTGAACCAAACGTCGTTTCATGGACTTCGCTCATGGCCGGTTACGTCGATACGGGTCAGCCCAGAATGGCTCTGTGGCTCTTTGGGAAAATGCCCGAGTGTTCTGTTCTGCCCAATGAGTTCACTTTTGCCACTGTGATTAATGCGTGTTCGATTCTTGCTCACCTTAGAACTGGCAAAAAAATTCATGCGCTTGTTGAACTTTTGGGATTTCAATCCAACCTTGTTGTCTCCTCTTCGCTGGTTGATATGTACGGGAAGTGCAATGATGTCGACCATGCCCAGCGGGTTTTCGACTTGATGGGTTGTAGGAATGTTGTTTCTTGGACTTCAATTATTGCTGCTTATGCCCAAAATGCACAGGGTGATGAAGCGCTCCAACTTTTCAGAGAATTTAATCGTTTGATGTTGGAGCGTCCTAATCATTTTATGTTAGCTAGTGTTGTCAATGCTTGTGCAAGCTTGGGTAGGTTGGTTTCTGGGAAAGTTGCACATGGAGCGGTAATTCGTGGTGGCTATGATTCGAATGCTGTGATTGCCAGTGCACTGCTGGACATGTATGCTAAATGCGGGTGCGTTGAGTATTCTGACAAGGTTTTCAGGAGAATCCAAAATCCCTCTGTAATACCCTACACTTCAATGATTGTGGCTGCTGCAAAGTATGGACTCGGGAGAATGTCTCTTCAACTCTTTCAAGAAATGATCGATAGAAGAATAAAACCCAACGATGTCACCTTCGTTGGGGTCTTGCATGCTTGTAGCCATTCAGGGCTTGTTGATGAAGGTCTCCAGCAGTTGGAATCTATGCATGAGAAACATGGAATAACCCCAACTGCAAAGCACTACACATGCATTGTTGATATGCTTGGTAGAACAGGCCGGCTTAACGAGGCTTACGAACTAGCCAAATCTATCCAAGCAGAGGCCAACCAAGAGGCCTTGTTGTGGGGCACACTTCTTTCAGCAAGTAGGCTTCATGGAAGGGTAGATATTGCAGTTGAAGCTAGTCGACGACTAATAGATTCTAATCAACAAGTAGTAGGTGCATATGTTACATTATCAAATGCTTATGCCTTGAATGGGGAGTGGGAAACTGCTCATGATCTTCGGTCAGAAATGAGGCGTACCAGGGTGCAAAAAGAACCCGGTTGCAGTTGGGTTGAGGTGAAGGATTCAAGTTATGTGTTCTATGCCGGAGATGTGTCATCATGCGCACGGGGGAGCGAGGTTGTGACTTTGTTGAGGGAGTTGGAGGGCAAAATGAAGCAAAGAGGCTATGTAGGAGGCAGTAGGGGATTGGTATTTGTTGATGTGGAGGAGGAAGCCAAGGAGGCAATCGTAGGTCTGCACAGTGAGAGATTGGCATTGGGTTTTGCGTTGGTAAGCATACCAAAAGGAGTCACCATTAGAATAATGAAGAACCTGAGAATGTGTAGGGACTGTCATGAGGCTTTCAAGCTCATTAGTGACATTGTTGAGAGGGAATTCGTTGTTAGAGATGTAAACAGATTTCATCACTTTAAAGGTGGTTCTTGCACTTGTAGGGATTTTTGGTGATGAACATCCGATTTCTGTGTATATCCTTAACAATCTCAATGGAAGTAGGAATATTTACTTTCAATTAATTCCACAAAGGACATGAGAATTTGAAAAACCCATGAACAGATTTGAAAATGCAACAAAAAAGCACCATTTTTTTCTTCTCAAGTTATCATTTTAATCAAATACCTGAGTTGAAACCCTGGGAAAATCTTCGTAAAAGACAATGCGGGTACATAATTAAATGAACAATGATAAGAACAAATAACTCGAAGGTTAAAGAAAGCCTGATAGCTCTATAATTACTTTAATCATTATTGTTCATGAATGATACAGATTGCACAGAATTCTGGAGGCAACTCAGCATATGCTTTTTATTCAGCCCGCACTGAAAAGAACATTGAATATTGGAATAAAAACAAAAAAGCAAAAGTGTACAGAAAATACGTTATGTCAATAACAAGCAAATGCTGCTGCCTGCAACGAAGTCAAAGCACCCATATCCTTCTTCCTAAACCAACCAAGATACCGCTTTCCTTTATCAAAATCATCACAATAACACCGCTTCAATACCTGTATGATCCATTGGAAAATATCCTGCTTCCCCATGATAAAAGAACAAATTTAACAACAATAATAATCTTCTTAAAAAGGATGTCTTATCATTTCAAAGCAAAACAGAAATCAACAGACTGTTTGCCTGTCTGGTGTAACATAACTTAACGAACTGGCTGTATATAATCAGACACAAAATCAGAGAGAGAGAGAGAGAGAGAGAGAGAGAGAGAGAGCACCACCATGCAATTACGGGCGAGTGATTGGTGAAAGCAGTGTATATGATCACCCTCCTCGAGGCAAGCTGCCTTAAAACCTATTGTTAAATAAATCATAACAGGACTCCAAATTGTTGTGCACTGAAATTCAATGTAAAGCAGCCATATGAGTTACCAACATACATAAGATCTACAACATCATGAAACATATTCGCCAGAACCTCATTCCCTCATTATAAATATAACATTGATAACTCAAACAATCAAATGGCATATATTAGCACAATACAAGGTTCTAAAATTAACGAATGACACTGCATGAAATATAAGTGAAAACAGTAGGAAAACCGATCACTAAAGTGCCTGGAAAACAATGAGCATTTGCACTCAGTTACTGCACGTATAACTAAACTGTCCAAAATACTGCCACCCAATAAGCAAACCGGTCTGACCAACACTAGGACCAAATAAGTGAATTGCAGTTATGGTTTATGAACACAGCATATAAATCTTCTTACTGAAAATTAAATAGCAAGTATATACTTGAACTCACATGCAATGATGGTCCTAGAGTGCATACTCCATGTAGGTCACAAGTCTGAACTTCTCAGCAACTCCTCAGAGCCCAAGTGAAACAACCGAAGCTCTTTAATTATCACGGTCACCTACACTAACATAAAAAATCCCACAGTAAACTCAACATACTGAAAAGTTTATTATGGGAAAGAGATTTCCTCCATTATTGCCTAATATAGTGAGGTAAAAGATTACGTACCTGAAGATTAAATTTCATATCCTTGGAAAGCTGGCACAATCTATACACGAAAGCTTAAGCTTGATGATTTTCCTACAAATATAAAGGCAACCTTGTCCAAGAATTTGGTTTCCATTCCATCAAAATTTTAATAAATAGTAACAAAACAGAAAATGCTTGATAGAGCTTTGACCAGTCACCACTATATCAGTAGTCAACCTCCCCAAAATGGTTGCCTAAGAGTATCATCCAATCTCTATATTTTTTTTTTTTTTACCCTCAAGCTCCGAATCACAGGAGCCAAAAAACAAAAATAACTTAACTATTACATAATCTCTGAGCTGCGCTGGCAAACAATTAATTCATTTCCTCTTTTCCCAATCCATGAAAACTATGGGTGAGCATGCTGTGCCCTTATCCACGTCAAGAATAGACTAGACTTGCGAAAAAAATACATTACAAAATTTGCTAATCAATCTCGCTTTGTACACATGTACAGAAGGCTAATAAACTGTCAGTGACTCGCCTCTTTGCAGATTTCAAGTGACGGTCCACCTAGGCATCCTGCCTGCTTAGGAGAGAAACCATAAAAATGCCCAATATATACAGGGTTGACTTAGTCTCTAGCACCACCAAATTTGGATCGACTTATGGCCTCCATTGCAAGCTTAACCAGACGGATGAGTTCCTCTAAATCTTGGAAGCTGAAATCAATGACCCTCTTAATAGAACAAATACAATCATTCTTATGTGCATCTTCCAGGGTTGCGCACGCAGCTGCAAAAGCATTCTGGGACTTTCTTGTGGCTTCCATTGCAAAATTTACATCCTGTGTCTGCAAAATAATACATACTAATCTTACCCTCTTGTAACACCCTGGTAAAACCATGCCATACAATCATCTGTGCGTCTGTATCTTACTGGTCCTACATGAGATGCCTATGACTTCATAATCCAACTAACCATGTAAAAAATGGAAGCAAAAGAAATCCAGTATGCGCATCAAAAGCCAACCAACTAAAAGTCATAGACATGCATTAAATTGGCTGTCCAGAAAGAAAGTTCATATACCTGAAAATAATTTTCATGATAATTGCAAGTCACTCAAGATGCTTGTATGTTTTTTTTTAAAAGAAAAAAAAAGGGTCAACTTGGAGGCTTTCATTCATTAAAAGGTCTTTTGTCCGCTGAAACTCCAATAACAAACAATTGGCTAATCTAGGACAACATGCACTAGCCAGTAGCTGGCAATTCTCATTCAGATTTCTCGACACTGACACTTTTATCCAGTATATATCCATGATTCATAGTACTGACTCCTTAGTCCTGAATAAATGAATTTAATACCTTGAAAGAACAATTCTTTAGGAAGTTAACAATATTCATATAGAGACTGAGTGCAAGATCAAATCAACTTACAAAGTCAAGCAGCCTGACAAAATTCGGGCGGTTTCGAGCAACAACAACATGGTTTCCAGAAACATGAATACCAGTACCCTTGGACAATACAGCCTTTTCTGCTATCACTTGGTTGTTCAAGTTATCCACATCTGATGCAGAAGACGATGGAGACTCACCTAAACAGTAAAGGGTTTTAAAAGAGAAAAAGTGTGAGTTGCTTGGTATTCCATTCTCAGTGAAAAGCAAGAGGAACTACATGATTGTTTGGAAATATTGAAGTTTAAACTAGAACAGATGATTTACAACTTCAAATCGCAAGCATCTACTAAGGAAAGAACAGAAATGAAACTTGGAAACAAAATCAAAAGATCATCACATAAATCAGCCAGGAATCCTGAATATATTCATAACCTGCTCCATTACCTGGAGGAGCTATATTGAGAGTAGCTTGCAACTCATGCCGATCTCTGTTTGTACTAGAATGTTTACAGTAAACCACCCTCATGTATGCCACCTCCATGCATTTATAGGCCAGGGCAGCGGAAGCCACTTCGTTGCGGGTTTCATATTCATGGGCACATAATCTGTGAATTCAAAAGGTTCAGCACAGAGACAGGCACGGGTATAGCAATGAAGAAATGAAAACTTCAAAACAGTATAGTAAGTTACATATTAAGTAAAGTTATTACATATTACACAAAGTTAAAAGTAACCATATCCAAATTAAATGATAGCTAATTGGGCTATTGACAAGTCAAATAAATAATGAAGAACTAATATGAAACTCATAAAAATAAGCCTAATGTATCTATCATATATTAGAAATACACATATCCTTATGCACATGGTGAAATTTAATAAGGGCTTGCATCTCAACTATTAGATCATATATAAGCAGCCAAGTGTAATGGCTGAGACATAAGTCCCAGTCCTTGTTAGACCACATCCATGTATGTGTGTGCTCAATCGTTAGATCAGATATGGATAATTGAGAGGCTTGTTGCATGCAATACATCTCAAAAGTCCATTTTTGCTTTAAAAGCTAATAAGCAAGACCTCGTTTAAGAACTTTATTTAAGCACCCTAAGAGATATATATACTTCAAAGCATTTTATGGCACCTCACCACGTTGGGGCATAAGCCTTTCATGCTTAGAAATATTATAATAAATATAAATATATATTATATATAATGAAAAACAAATAATTCAACAATCTAAGGTTTGTCATTTAACCAAAATTCTATACCAATCAAGCAAAAAACATATATTTCAACAAGATCCACCAAACTTAAATTTAGGGGTGATATGGAACTGGTGTAAAATTCCCTTGAATATGCCGAGATCTATAACTATATGGGTGATACAAAAATTTTAGGGGTTTTAGGGTTAATTTAAGGGGGAGAAGTCGCACACAGCAAAGAGGGGAGAGAAACTCGTGCTTGGGTCTGCAAGAGGAGAGTTTTTAAAAATTGAAAAACAGGTCAAAATGACGTGGTTTGGCCCTGGGAACCTTTTTCTAAAATAAAAAAGGGGAACAAAACCCTAAAACACAGTGCCATGCGCCTCCGGCGTGCCTCAAGTGTGCCTCCGCCAAGCCTCAATTGCACCACGCCCTGCTTTGGACACTTCTCTGCATTTTTTGAACGCCTCGGACTGAGGCACGCCTCAACACAGGCCATTTAAAACATTTTAGCTCTAGTAAGGATCTAAGGACGCAATCCTTAGCTGTTAGATCTCTTTTATAAACAAGATTAAAACACTGAAAATAGGGACAAAAATGAGCCGATGCAAGAAAAGCCATATACAAGTTTCTTGGGTTTGGCTTAGAAAATGGAGTACCAAACAAGGCCAAGCATGGATTAACAAAGGTCGCTTGAGCTCTGATCAAAAGAAAAAACTCCAACAATGGAGTAAGCATGCTTTGTGTACCTCACAGAACATTAGAAGAAGCATCAACTAGAGTCAAACTTATGAGTAAATGGACCCTCTTCAGTGTTAATATTTTCTTAAAACTCAAAACCCAAGAAGTTAGTATTAAAGTCAACTCAATCAAGGAGAAGAGTTTCAACAATCTAATTATAGTATTAGAATGAGAAACAACTATGTTTCTTAAACTTAGGGCATTTAACTTACTCGCAAAGTTTAGCTGTAGTACTGTACACTTGCAACTGAGTCATATCCCCATGTTTGCCATTCTCACTACTGCAACTTTCTAAAAGCACGGCTCCTTGGAGAAACTTCAGAGCAGCTTGGAAGTAAGCCTCACTACTTTCGAAATCAAACCCAGAGTTCTACAAAACCAAAGTATGGATTAAGAGAACAGAAAAACAACATCGTATTAATCCTGTAAAGATAAGCTAAAAGCCAAATAAGAACAAGAAGAAACCTTAAGATAATCAGCATAGTCTCTGAGCCTTTTAGCTTCTTTTAGGGAATTACTAGCAGTCTGGCCAGAGGAGCTTCTCACAGGACTTGGCGAACTGACATCCATTGCTCTCTGTTGATCAGGCATGAAGTGTACCAAATTGCAATTAATTCCATTCTTGTTAGCCGAAGTCCCAGACTGCTTCACTGACTTCGATTCATCACCATTGACAGTGGCATTGACTGGAAGCCCCTGAAACACCACTTCTCTCTCGGACCCTGCAACAGGTCGGGAGCAAAGAGATGGTGTTTCTTCTTTCCTTTCACCTTGGCAATGTGAAAACAATTGTGGTTTCCCGCTTCTTGGGTCATTTTGAATCTGACTGTCCCCATGATTCTGAATCAAGTTCTGTTGCAGGGCACGGGCACCCTTCCTATTAGGGCTCTGTGTAGCGCTAAACTTCACATCTGACACATCATATTCTTTTCGCCCCAGTTGAGTTTCCACTCCACTGTCACTTGACCCATTTCCTGCATTATCTCCCCGACTAACATGATAGTTATCATCCTTGACCTTGACCGACTTAGTGCTACACTTTTTAGGAAGATTGTGTCTAACATTATTCCCTTTTTCAAGAACGAATGCCTGATGATTGCATTCAATCTCAGGCTCATATCTTTGACTCTTCTTCGAGTGATCATTCACTGGATCAGAAACTTTCACCTTGTTCCTATCTAAATCAGAAGTGCAGCTTCTAACATTGTCCTTTGACTGCAAACAGGAACCCTTGCCAGATTTCTGCACACAAACTGCAACTTCAGTTTGCTTCTTGTTCTCTCTATCATCATCGTGGCAACGATCCATGCCATGCTGATTACTGAGGCACTGACCACGTGGTTCCAAACTATCATTACCACTAAGCAAATGGCTACTCCAAACTTCAGAAGAAGGTTTGGCTTTGACACTGACTTCACCATTAGCATCTATATCATGGCAGCCTACTGATGAAAATTTATGAGATTCAGGACGAGTACTGCAGGAAATCTTCTTCTTCCGGGTAGTCACAAATTTATCAATATTACCAGTTTCATCCCCATCCCAAAATCTTTTGGGAATATTTGATGGAGGGAAATCACCATAAACAGCATCATCTTTCCCAAAAGCATCTCCCCTAGATGAAGTAAGCCTGTCTGAATGGGAGGTCCTCAAAGGAGATGATGAAACTGATTCCACGGGTGAGCCTTTTACTTCTTCAAAGTTAACTCTAGTTTTATGGGAACCTGAAACCTTTGAAGAACTTGAAGTGGCAGCCAAGGAAACAGACCCCAAATCCCTTTTTAATGAATTTACACCATCCAATGTTTGTTGAGATGCATTCTGTTTACTATGTTTCCCAGGTTGCTGGTCTTTCACAATACTCCTATCCTTTTCCATAGCATCAACTGAATGAACTTTTGTGCCTGACATAACAATTTGGGTCACTCTGCTTTTTCTGTTTGATTTATCATCTCCATTACTAGTACTGGACTCTTTACCATCAGTCTTTAAAATCTTCGACTTCTTTTCCTTCTGATATCCACTTTCACTACTTTCCTCGCTATATACCTTCCCTTCATGCGTAAAATTTTGAAATGTCTCCACATTATTCTGAGTATCCTGCCAGTCTCTCATTTTCCTTTTCTTCATGGAACTATCGCCTCTACTGCATTTTCTCACATCCAAAGACCCACCAGGGCATGACACCTGAGTTTGGTCTCGCAGTTTCTTTGCAGGAACTTGTGCTATGTCCTTCACTACATCCTTTGTATCTTCAGAATAACAGAGGTCATTGTATTTGATGTCTTGACCACGTGCCTGAGTCAGCAAACCAGTACTTGATCCAACACCAACCTTCCCAAGGTCAATATGAGCATTCCGATTTTTATCACCATGCCACGTCTCTTCTCTCTTGAGTTTCTTTGAAGCTCCACAAGTATATTGATCGGCCCCATTGTATTTCAATCTTACTTTCTTGGTGTCACCTGCAGATATATAACAACCCAAATAAATAAATACAGGCACAAGTTACCTAATTTTACACAAATGTGTTATGGCGTTAGGAAATGGAAACTTCATAATGAATTACATACCTCCACTTGTGTGTTTCTCCTTCTGCTTAGTTGTGCTTTTTTCCATTCCCAAGTTTTGCAGCTTGCTCATTTGTCGATAACCAGATTTCTTCATCGAATTTGATTCTAAAGGAGGCCGGTTTATGTCCTTTGAGCTTATACTTTTCACAGCTTCTTGAAGGTGGTTCTTTGTAGTGTTCAAGAGACCACTACCACTACCTGTATCGGGTATTTCCTTTAAACCATGTTTCTTTTTCCCTTGATTAGACATGGCATGAGAACTAAGCTTCTGGTGATTCTGATCAAAATTTAAGACATTGACTGCAGGTACTGCAGATGCTGTTCCATTAGCATGAGCCTGTGGCTTATTTAGACTTTCTGAAGATGGTTGGTACAATGCATTGAGTGCTTTTGTAGTTTCCTCTTCACTGATGTCACATCGGTTCATCCCAGGCCTACAGGACAGTGTCAATACTTTCAATACCACAGTGAAAAGGCACCAATACACATGCACACGTATGTAAATGTTATTATTTGATTATTTACACATAAACCCAAAGACTTAAATGTGTGTGTGTGTGTATGTGTGTAAGAGAGAGAGAGAGAGAGAGAGATGAGAGAGAAAAGGCAAGCAATACATTATTAAATATTCAAGTTAGGGTCTGGCCGCAACCATAAATCAATAAATGCAATAGAGCAGTTGTATAATGCTCAAATCCAAGAATGAGAAGGAAGCTTACAGCCAATTTAGCATGCTACACAACCATTTCTCAGGGAGTTGCTCTGGCTTGGTACCGAAGGGTAGAAGCCGCCACTTCTGACACTTATCACAACATACCCAATTTTCTTCTATAACAATAGGAGCTGCAGCTGCAGCTGCAGGTACGACCTCTGAAGCAAGTCCATTTTCCATTGTAGGTTGGCACGAATGAGGAGCATCTTTTGAAACTAACCTATTATCAATCTTTTTACCACTCAATTTTTCCTTTGGTTTATCCAAACATGCCTTCCATTTTACTTCAATATCATCAGCAGGTCTTTCTGCTAGATCCATTTTATTCCTTTGTTCCAAACTTTTGCCCCCAAATGAATCTCTTTGATTATCTATGACCTTATCCTTCTGCGACTTTAACTTACGAATTTTTCTCCCAGAAGGAGGAACACCATGACCACCACTCAATTCATCTTTTGGTACTACACCCATTTCAAACCCCAAGCTTTCCTTTGTTGAGACAGTAGGTGGCTTTTCATTGCTTTGATTTTCCTTTGACTTAATCCTGCCCTCTACTGATAGCTTTGCCCTCTTACCAGGAACATTAGTTTTTTCTTGCTCATGTGATGTACATTTCTTTCCAGCATTGTGTCTGTGCAGGTCTGGCTCTTCCTTGACTTTGGATACATCAGTATCATGTTGTGGGGCTGAAGTTTTGTAACCCTTGCACTTGCCATCATCCCTGAGATGAACTGGAACATCCTTCTGTTCCCAAACCTTTTCCACTGAACCATACCTAGACTTTTGCTTCTCATTCTTGACACATCCCTGACCAGATATCGACTCCAATGATTCTTCCTTCACTAATTCAGAGGAAGAAAATCTTCCTTTCACTTCATTCTCATTGGCTTCCCTCGAAGCTTCAGATGTCCTACCAATCCCTTTCAGAGGGTCACCAACATCACATACTAAGTTGGAGAAAGGTGTTGCTCCCAAGTCATTGGGCAGAAGCTCCTTGCCTTCTAGGGTCTCAGTTTCTGATTTCTTTTTCATAAGAATTCTCGTGCGATTCTTGATACCATTCTCAAGCTTCAACTTAACCAAACTTTCACCTTTCCCTGCTACTTTAATTTTCGTCTCCTTTGACACTTTCCTATTGCCCCGTGTGGAAACTGACTCCTCTACAGACAAAGAAGAATGTTCTTGATGACCCTTAGATGAAGGCACCTTTCTCTTTCTTATTAAGCAAAGAAGACTGTCATGAAGTGGTGATATCAACGCATCTCCAGGAACAGGGAAAGAAGTCATAACCTGTTACAACAACCAAAAAAAAATACAAACAAAAAAATGCCCATGAATGAAACCAGATCATAGTCCATCTACAGAAAGAGGAACTGCACTAAAACATCTGGCCTTACCTGAATAATGTTAGTGGGAGACTCGTCCACAGTCACTTGAGATGGAGGTGGCATATCTCCACTTTCCTCAGGGCTGTTCTCCAAGGATGAAGATGGGGAGTTAAGCCCAAGACCACTATAAATTGCTACATTCTTCCGAGCTGTGGTATCAGAGTTCATTTTGATTCGAACCTTCAGTGTCCTTAGATCAGTTGGATTGCCAAGTTTGTTTAAAGTTTCATCTTTCAAGGAACACCTCTCAGCTACTTGAGTAGATGGCACACATGAATCCTGTTTAACTGAAATGTCCCGAGGGGGGACCCTTGAATTATGTGACAAGTGAGCACTGTTAGCAGTACCAAGCCTCGCAGTTGGGGGTGCACTTGATGAAGCTTTCAAATTCTGAGTAGCACCCTGTATGGTCACATAACCCACAGTGCTCAACTAAAATATAATTTTCCAATCTGACAAGATCTCAGCCGCATATATATATCTCCTTCCTACCAAAAAACAAATACGAATAAATTCTTTTCAATGTACCTCCATTAAACTTTTAGGAGATCTTGATGTGTTGTAGCTTTTCTGCGGTGTCTTTGGATGAGACCAAACGGCAGAAGACCTTTCATAGGATGGTAAAAATGAGCCATATCCACCATATTTTGGCCCTGACAGAACAATAAAGTCAATATACCTGATGAGCTATTAACAACTAAATTTTCAAGTACAAAGATGAACTTAGCTTCACTCTGATCTATTACTTTCATGTATGTCACTTACCCAGACTCTCAGCAAAAGCCCCGCCCTCAAAATCCTTCTGGAAATGGCCCAGAGCATGTTGAAGTCTCTCATCCTTGCAAAAATCAGAAGGTAGTGTCATTACATACATGAGATCAGAAATATGAACAATAACCAAAATTTCTGTAATTGACAGCAACAACAGGTTTTGCTAGGCACACATAGCGTAAAAGAAGAAAATCCCACTTCAACTTTCTTTTTCTTTTTTTTTAAAAGAAGCCAATGATGTGAACTTGTTTTGGGATACTAATATCAATTTCCTGCTTATCTTATCAACATAATTGGCAACCAATAAGGTTGAGTCTTGAGACTGTCCTGGAAAAATTGATAGCCAAGAAAACAAAAATGAGGAAATAAAAACAGAAAGTTAATAACTTCCATTGTTCAGAGACTACATTTGGCACACTGAACTCAATTCAGCTGCTCAGTATTTGGAAATTTATAGGGGGGATTAAATACTTTGTTCTATCAGACACTGAACAAAACAAGTATTGAGTTCAAATTAACTTTTGTTTTCCTTGGATCAACAACCAGATAATCATCAATAATCTATGAAGTATCAAAAAATAAAAGACAAAAAATGAACTTAAAAACTCTGAATACTAGAATTTATAGTACATAAATTATAGCTACAGAACGCCTCCAGAAGTTTACTACAACAATGTTGTTGCATAATCAATTATTCAACAGTCGACCAGGAATGTGCACTTTTCCTATACTTAAGTCAGAAAATAATCTACATTGTTTCCAAAGCCAGCAAAATATCCAGAAACTTCACTGGTAGTTTCCGAAGCTTTTTGCATATTACGCCCCATTGGAATACAGCACAAACTAAAGCATGAGTTTTAAGAATCTTAATTATTGCGTTTCGTATTTGTTTACTTTCCAAGTGATCAAAAATTCTACTTCACCAAGCCAAACAGTTGTCTGCAAGTCTAAGATTCCTGTTTTAACTCAATTTCTTTGTTATTCTTATATGTTCTTGGAAATGAAAACAAGCAGTTACAATCCACCATTGTATTTAATTTACAGATATATCAAACAAAATAGAAACTCAGTCTTAAGAACATTGTTAAGATGACCATTGTTAATTAACTCCAAAGCTGTTAAGCAAAATTCCGACGAAAAATTCAAACTTAATTGAATCAATGACACAAAGATGCCCTTACAATGTAAGAGAGATCGTTGTCTGGGTCAACGTTTTCCTCGTCATCCTTGTAATAGCAAGAAGCCTCGCCTTCTTCAAGCTCAGTATTATTCTCCTCCATCTCCAACCCCATCAAACCCTAACCCTACCCCTCCCTAACCCCAAAACCCTAACCCTAACTCCTTCCACAACAGCCTTCCCTAAAGTCCAGCATCAGTCCAATTCCCAGAAAACGCTCGCCGACCCACCAAAGCTTTCACAAAACCCAGAAACCAAATCTCCGATAACCGACTCTTACAGTGGAAATTTCACAGGCCCTCTATGAAATAAATCCCCAAAAATATCAAATAAAAATTAACTGAATTCATTTATGTTAAAACTCTTTCCCTTGAACACGACGATCAGGTTCTGAGATCGACGGTGGGATTGGGCGGACCGATCAGTGCTGAGTATTGATTGCCTGCAACGGGTTTAGACGGCGAGTAATCGTATTGATTCGATTTTACGCACACTGCCTCTCTTCTCTTGTTGCTCTATAATTTCTTTTGTATTTTGTTTCTGTGCAGCACAAGGAAGCCCAACACCAAGAGCCTTTGCTTTCCTTGTCTTTCCCCTTCTGTCTATTTTTATTTTTCTTTACCTCTTCTTTTACCTTAAATTTATTTATCTCTAGGGGTCTGTCTATCGAGAAGAACTTACATATACCGAGATGCTATCGTAGCGGTATTCTAAGCCTATTGTACATTACGATGTCGGAAAATAGCATTAACATGTCAGAAAATTAAAACACATAAAAATAAGTTATTGGCTCGGGATAACGCTACTATGTATATAGTATAGGTAAGTTTTAGCCCAAAAATTGAAAATAAAAACTCTTTTTTTTTTTTAATGATCAAGTATATAATTTTGGTGCGTGAAAAAGTGAGGGTGTGTGCCAATACATGATTGCTCAGCGAAATTGTAATCAGAACTCTCGGAAGTCGGAGGGAGGAGACAGGTTTCTGAAGGAAACGGCGCCGTTTGCCACGTGTTTGCTGCGACTCTTTGCAAATACCGCCGCAAACCTGTGTTGTGGACCTCGGTTTGGGACCTTTGGATTGGGACATGTTATGCGTGCTGCATAAGTATCATGCATCTATACAATTATAAAGTCAAAGATAACTTGCCTTTTTCTTTTTCTTTTGTTGGACGCATAATTTAGCATTATATATTACCTTAAAACAAATTTATAATTACGAGAATGCTAGCTATTTTCTCTTTACAACTTATTTTCTTATATTTTATATTGTTTTTCTTTATTTTGCAATGCTATATTATAATCATTCGAATTAAGGTCATTCTTCAAGAAGCATTCATAAAAACGATTGACTGAATTGAACATCGTTTGGCCATTTTGATTAATGGCATGTTTGGGAGTGCTTCTGTAAGAGCCAAAAACGCTTTCTGATAACTAAAAGCATTTATGACAACGTTTGGCAGAAAACATTAGAAACGCTTCTGGGTTATAGAAGCGCTTCCTGGAGAAGCACCTGCCATGTGCTTCTTCAGGAAGCAATCCCAAGTGCTTTTTCACGAAGCACTTTAATTTGTTATGAAAATTCAAGATTTTTATAATAGAAGTGCTTTTGTTAGAAGCACTTATAAGCAGAAGTACTTCCTAGAAAAGCAGTCCCAAACGAGCCCTAATAGTGTTTCATCAAAACACAAGGTTATTTGGTCTAATCATAAATGATTTATATCAATTCTATATCAACATGGATAGAATTTCAAGCAGTTAATGTCACTTTCTCCAACCTTTTCTATCTATCTTCATCAATACTAAATCCAGCTTTTTTTTTTTTTTTTTTTTTTTTTTTTTTAATTAATTACTAATTTGATGAAACATGTGTTTTTGATTTTATGTTCCTTGTTGAATAATTTGTTTGATAATCCTTTATAATATTTAAAAAATATATATTGATGAGTAGTTTTAAATCTGCTATCAATATATATGGTCCAATTCTTTTTATATATTTTTGTTCAATAATTTATTTGTTTTAGAAGGCCTTATTACTAATTTTTTAAAGGGCCCTTAAAATCTCATAGTTGCTCCTAGTTCGAACTTGAGACTACTATTCTGCAAGTCAAGACCCTTTTTCCATTTGGCTAGACCCCGTTGACTTTTCATTATTATTTTAAGTTGAAAGGAAATTTGGGATTGAATTGTTTGTTGTGTTTATTCCATTCTCCAAAATGAGGTATTTATAGTACAATGGTATAAACAAACCCTAATAGAGTAAAACAAGGAAAGTAAATATTCCAAATTATAAGATATCTGTACAAAAGGGATATCAATCACCTTTGTTGGTGCATAGAGATCTTTTATGTCCAACTTGTCAAGTGAGTCATGAAACATCTTTGTTGATACTGCATGCGTTAATACATCTGTCAGTTGTTCTTCAGATTTCACAAACGGGATATTAATCAACTTCCCAACAAGCTTTTCCTTGATAAAGTTTCGGTCCACTTCAACATGTTTAGTTCTGTCATGTTGATTTGGGTTGTTTGCAATTTCTTTAGTTGCCTAATTATCACAGTATAGGTCCATAGTTTCTTGCGGTGGAAAGCCAATTTCAATGTGTAGACTTCTCAACCAGAGAAGTTCACACACTCCCTAGGCGACACCCTTATATTCGGCCTCAGCTGCTGATTGTGCCACTACATTTTGTTTCTTATTACGCCATGTAACCAAGTTACCTCCTACAAAGGTGAAGTAGCTTGATGTAGATTTGTCATTAGAGTGTGTAACCTCAATTCCCAAAAAATATTTCAAGCTTCCTAAGTCTTTCATCTCAAACAGATGCCAAAAATTTCTGGAGTTTCTCAATTACATCTTAATCATCACTTATAACAACCATATCATCAACATAAATAACCAACAAAGTAACCTTACTACACGTGTGTTTGATAAATAAGGTATGATCATAGTTTCCTTGTTAAAACCCAAACTTCTTCATGGCTTCAGTGAGTCTCCCAAACCACGCTCGAGGAGACTGTTTCAAACCGTAAAGAGTCTTTTACAATCTGTACACTTTTTCAATGCTATTGGTTAATCCATAACTAGATGGGAACTCCATGTAAACTTCTTTTTCTAAATCTCCATAAAGAAATGCATTATTCACATCAAATTACTTCAAAGACCAATTTAGAGACAAGAATACCCGGATATTGTTCATTTCGGCTATAGAGCATAAGTCTGCTGATAATCAACACCATACGTCTGTGTATATCCCTTTCTCACCAACCTTGCCTTACATCGATAAATTGTCCCATCTGCCTTATGTTTAATTGTGAATATCCATTTGCATTCCACTGGTTTCTTTCCTTTAGGCAATAAGACTATATCCCAAACCCTATTTTCCTTTAACGCTTCCATCTTCACTTTTATGGCATCGGTCCACTTGGGATCTCTGAGAGCTTCTTCTACTTTGTTTGGTATTACAACTGCTTTCATTTGATTCACAAAAGCTTGACATTATGTAAACAATCTATGTGTGGACACATAGTCAGCTATTGCATATCACACTTTGCCTTCTAGCGAATATTTGTCCAGTGGTTTTCCTATGTTTGCTTTGTGAGGCAACTAGTAAGATTATCCAACAATATCAATAGGATTATTTGAACTAGGTTTTGAATTACTTACCTCAGGAACATTCAGAGGAGACTAAGCGGCTACTATTGTAGTGTGAGAGGGGATGCATCTGTCAGCATTAACATTGGTTGTGTATCCGACTGGGCTGGGATGTTAATTTCAGTCGGCTCGTCTTGGCTACTTTGTGGCTCGGCTGGGATGCTGATTTCAATACTGATCTGCACTAGCATTGGTTGTGTATGGGGCTAGGCTAGGAAGCTGATTTCAGTACCGATTTCATCATCGGTTGTTGTAGTTCCTTCTCCCATTTTGATCTCAAACCAAATGTGTTCTTCCGATTGATTACTATTCGTCTCCCCCTGAAGAACATATTGGGTAAACTCAGTGGGGATAAAAACTGTTCACTCTCTAGGAATGTAACATTCATAGTAGTACACCACTGACGAGAAGATGGATGATAACACCAATATCTTTTTTGTCGTGGAGAGAAACCTATAAACACACAGCAAGTAGCACATGGATCCAATTCATTCCTTTGATTTTTGTGGAGATGCACATAAGCTACACCCAAAAATATGGGGAGTAAGATTGATGGAGAAGGTGACAGAAACATGAGAAGCTAAGAATTCCAGTGACGTTTGAAAATCAGGACTTGAGATGGCATTCTATTCAACAAATACACAGCATAGGTGACAACATTAACCCAATAACATTGTGGTACAAAGCCACCTAAAAGAAGTGCATGAGTAGTCTCAAGGATATGTCGATTTTTCCTCTCAACCAACCCATTTTGTGCGGGAGTATGAGAGGCATATGGTTTCATGTAGAATTCCATGATACCGGAAAAATTGTGAAAGAGTCATATTTACAAATTCACCATTATTGTCTAAATGAACCACTTTGATGCAGTGGGAGAATTGCTTTTGAATCATGTGATAAAAAAGCTTGAAAAATGGAGCTGACGTCACTCTTAATTCCATATGGTGTGGTAGTAGGGGATAGACCCCAAACATCCGAATGAACTAAAGCAAAAGGAGTTGTTCTTTCATTCAAACTCAGTGGGTAAAAAACTCGATAACTTTTTCCAAAATACAAGTCTCATACTTCAAGTCTAAGATTTTTATGCCACTAAATAATGAAGGAATTAAATATTGCAGATAACCAAAAGATGCATGCCCCAACCATTGATGCCATAACCAAATATATTTTTTCTACCTTGTTGTTGGTGCTAGAACCTGATGAACCCTTCTTGGTGCAACATCATCAATATAATATAACCCATCCCTCTTAGTACCATGCCAAATGATCTCCATTGTCTGAATGTCCTGAAGCAAACAAAACAGCAGAAACATTAGTACAAGACAATCTAGTTGTTTCGTAACTTGGCTAAATGTCAAAGCACTCGCATCCTTCTCCTACATGGCGTGCTATTGAACATGGTGTAGATATTTTGAAAAAATGGATAGAAATTAGAGTGGGAGAGGGGCTGCACACTTCCTTTTGGACAGATAATTGGGTTGGTGATGGACCATTGATAAGTCGGTGAGGGAGGGTGCCTTAAGATAAATTACAATTGAAAGTTTATGACTATCTGTCTCATGGCACTTGGGACCTGGAAAAGCTAAAGGAAGATTTACCACTTGAGATGGTAGGTCATATTACGTGTTTACTTGCTGGATTAAGTTGTAAACCAGATATTCCTATTTGGAAGCATACTACCAATGGCTTTTTCAGTGTTAAATCAGCATATATGGCTAATTGTCGGGAGTTGTTGAGTATGGATGTTAGCTAGGCTTTTATATCGAACATTAAGGCTCCCTCAAAAATTAAATATTTCCTTTGGTTGCTACACCAAGATAAACTCTTAACAAATTATCAAAGAGTTAAAAGGAAGATGACCATGACTGCCAATTGTGATATTTGTGGTGCCCCAATGGAGAATGCAACTCATATTGTACGAAATTGCCCAGTGGCAATTTCAGTTTGGCATCAGTCCCTTATGCATATGAATTTGTGTTTGCTGCAGGCTGCTGATCTTCATACTTGGGTTGCAAAAAATTTACACAACTCTACAATTTTGGCTTATGGAGTGGAGTGGTCAACCATGTTTGCTTTCACTTGTTGGTTTCTTTGGAAATGGAGGAACAAAAATATTTTTGATCATGGGTTTGTGTTCCCCAACAACCCCAGACACGTCATTCTTATGGCTGCTGCAGATTGGACACATGCCAATATTGAAAAAACTATAAAACCCACCCACTCTCTCACTGCGCTATCTTGGCAATATCCGAATGAAGGAGTGATTAAAATCAATATCGACGGGTGCAGAAAAGGTGAGGATGGACGCATTGCTGCTGGGGGTGTACTAAGAGATAGTTCTGGGTAGTGGATGAGAGGCTTTGCTATCAATCTCGGTGTAGGACAAGTCTTGGAAGCTGAGTTATGGGGCATCTATCTTGGACTAAAAATTTCTTGGGATATAGGTTGCAGTGCAGTTGTGCTTGAGTCTGACTCAGCGACCGCGGTACACTTGCTTAACAAAAATGTGGAAGACTTTCATCCTCTTGCTACTATGTTGTGGGGATGCGAGGACTATATAAACAAAAAATTGGCTTGTTCTATTCATCATGTATATCGTGAGTGCAACATGGTAGCAAATAAACTAGCTGAATTGGGTTCATGTCTTGAGTTGGGTCTGTCAACTTTTTAGGACCCTCTTGACAGTATTAGGTCCTTTCTTAGTGAAGATTTACTTGGAGTCTGTAGGCTTCGAGCCATTGTTTAATTTCTTTGTTGGGCATTAGCCCCGTTTCTTCACCCAAAAAAAATATATATTCAAATTTATTATATTTAAATAGTATAGCTGCTCGGCTATACTCTTCAAATAATCGAATTTATTATAATTAAAAAGTGTAGCAAGGCAGGCTATGCTATTTAATATTTTAATTTATTATTTAAAAAGTAATACCTCACAACTATAATATTTAAATATATTCGAATTTAATAAATATAAGGAGTATAGTCGCTCAACTATATTATTTCAGTGTTCGAATTTATTATATTTAAGGAGTATAGCCGAGCAGCTATCCTATTTAATTATAATTTATTATTTTCAAAGCGTATAACCGGGCGGCTATACTATTTACATATTTGAATTTATTATATTTAAAAACTATTTAAATATTTGAATATAGTATAGCCGCACAACACCCCTTCTATTTAGTGGTCCCTTAAATAACACCAGTTAGGGTCCCATAAGAAATTTAACAAATCAGAAATCATTTTGACATCCAACTTTGTCCTACAAAATTAATTAACATAGTTCTTCAAGAAAGTACTAAAATTTCAATATTTCAATTGAGTAGTCTACTTATATCGAATTCAAGTGATTTTTTGTAGAGATGATCTTTGAATGAATATCTACAAAATAAACTGTTTGGATTAGTAAAATACAATACAAAATGGGTCCTACAAGGTTGTCCCTCAAATAAGCTTATTTGAGGGATCCCTCAACTGAAGCTCTCCATATATATATATATATATATATATAATTGATTCCTTAAGTATTTGAGTGTGACTATATTCCCTTAGAAAATTGTCATGTAGATCTGTAATGCCTGATCATAACCATGTATACCTTTGTCAAGGCGACGTCTTGATCCCTACAAAATTAACAGAAAAGTTTGTAAGAAAAGGAAGCAAAAGTGTTCTAAACTTTATCACAATTTACACTTAGTAATCTATTTTACTACAATAATGTATGCATGAATTTCCATTAGCGTAATTATCATATGAGCTAAAAACACATGCGGCTATATTATTTAAATATTCGAATTTATTAAATTTGAGGAGTATAGTCACGTGGCTTTACTCTTTAAAGCCGATTGGAACCGGCAAATCGACAGGCCTACACATCGCAAAAGGTAGGGGTGGCGACGGCAATGCCGACAGCCCATGCCATATCACGCAGGGGGTATTGGATAGGCAACCCATGGTCATATGGCATGAATCAAACATGGCCTATATACATTTAGGCGTTATAAGCTAACAAATGTCATCATACCAACTCACATGCACTAGGATTGGTGACCTCATGGGAAGTCTTCGTGTTGCATCCCTTTTTTTTTGCGTTTTTGACGCTTCAATTGTTGTAGGTGTTTGCTTTTCGTTGTCTTCATTGAAATGTTTTTTGTGTTTTTTTGATTTTTTTTTGTTCAATTATCATTGGGTAAGCCCCATAGCTTATTGGAACCAGCGGATCGGCATGCCTGCGCATGGCGCAAGGTGGGGTGGCGACGACAAGTCCTGAAAGCCCATGCCATTGCATGTGACGACATGCCATGTCATGTGGGGGGTGTTGGATAGGCAACCCATGGTCATGTGGCATGGCTACAACATGGCTTATATACTTTTAGTCGTTATAAGGTAACATATGAGATCATACCAACTCACATGCATCGGATCCCATCAAGACTCTTTAGTTAAGAGGGTTTGGGAAAGAGTAGTACTAGAATAGGTGACCTCTTGCGAAGTCCTCGTTTTGCATCCCTTTTTTTTCTTTTTGCGTTTTTGAAGTTTCAATTGTCATGGGCGATTGCCTTCTGTTGTCTTCATATGGCTATTGTTTTTTCTTTCATGACCCCTTGAAGCTAGTCTCTAATTAACTAGGCACCGGAAAAGAACGAAAACGAAAAAAACCGTGGGACTGACCTATTGTTGAAATTTTTTGGGTTGTTTTAGTTTTTTTTGTTCAATTATCATTGGGTAAGCCCCACAACAGATTGGAATCGGTGGATCTGCATGCCTCTGCGTGGCACAAGGTAGGGTTGGTGAAGGAAAGGCCTGAAATCCCATGTCGTGTCACGAGGAGGGTGGTGGATAGACAACCTATGAACATATGGCATGGCTACAACATGGCTTATATATACTTTTAGGCGTTATGTAGCTCATATGCAAGGTCTAAAATATCGATGGTATTGTAAATATCGGTAGTCCAAAAACACAAAAGTTTTGATGAAAATATCGGGATATTATCGATATTGATAAAAATTGAATAAAAACCACGGAAATTGTAAGAAAAACTTAGAATTTTTTTTTGAAACTTTGAAGGATGTTTATTTAATCAATTATCTATTAGTTTATCACAAAAAATTGGAAAGAAATGCATTGCATGATATGTTTAATTTATTTAAGTTGATTATATAGCGAGCTGACAAATACTGTGAGTGTAGAAAATATGTAGTAATTAATAAAAGAAGATTAAACACACCATAATCATTTATATATATGATTTACTACAAAATTTTACACTTTATACATTGCATGGTAAGATACATTAGTGACTTAGTACCATATAAAGTTCTTATGAGGTTCAAATTTTTCACTATCTTCATCATCTCTATGTGTAGAGTAAGTATATTGTGAAGAGTAGTCATCAAATGATAAATCCCCAAAATAGTTTTGCATATAATTGTTAACATGTCACCCATATGGATCCGAGATTGGTTGACATTGTCCATAAGCAAAATCATTTCAAGATTGGGTCTCGTATTCTTTCCATGAGCCGCTCGATTCCATCCCAAAAGGAAAGGTCAAAGAGTCACATTCTCATGTGAAAATTTGATTCTTGTAAGGAAAAAATATAAATATACATATTTTAGCATATTATCATAAAAACATAAGCAACATGGTGGTTAAGGCGTTGGAGGAGTGAAATGGCAGGGGTTTGAATCCCCTTTGTGTGTGTGCTTTTTGGGGGGGTTTTTGTTTTTTTTTCCATTACATAGATATTTTTGATATTATGGCTATATTTTTCCCATTACATTGATATTTTTTTGATATTATTGATATTTATACGATATGTGTATGGATACGTTCCGAAATATCCGTGACTCAAAAAAACAATAATATCCTCGATATTTCGTCGATATTATCGATATTTTAGACTGTGGTCATATGTGAATTTGGGTTCTAAATTTTGTTTATATTACAAAAAGATGTTATCCTCTCGAATTCTTTAAGCGACTGCACATCAAGGTTCTCTATTTAAGATTTCTTTCAAATCAAGTTCATGTGCAAAAGATTAGCAAATTTCTCTCTTTAAGATTTCTCTCTTTAATAATTTTCTATTGTTGAATTTGTTCTCTCTAATCAACACCACAAAACATATGCATGCATGTCATGTGGCGGGCCTTCAAGTGAAGTGTAACACCCCGACCCCAAATTTATCCCATGTTTTAATTTATTTAAGTGGAATTGAGAAATTACCCATGGGATAGGGGTATTTTAGTCATTTTCTTATCCGGAAGGAATTTGGGAATTCCGGTTGTACCGTTGCGTAGAACACGGTGAGATGAGTCCGTAGACACGTAGTGGGCTCGAATCGGAGTTGTAACGAGAGAGATATGATCAAATGAAGCTCAGTGGCATAATCGTAAATATTTTGAAGTGGGATTTTTGGTTAAAAGACGGAATTGCCCCCGTCTCTCACACACTCTCTCTCTCTCTCCCGCGCGCGTCTCTCCCTCTCTCTGGTTTTCGCGACAGCCACTGTGGCCGGCCACGTTTTGGCCGGCCGTGCTCTCGTCCGGCCACCAAAGTCGACGGGGCCGGTACCAAAATGACCGGGCCGCCGTCCTCTTCCTACCCCAGCCGGGTCTCACCGCCAGCCGCCGGGATTTCGCCGGAAAATCGAAGAAAACAGCCCGGTTTCGCCTGAAACTTCGCCGGCTTCGTTCTCCGTCGTCCGGCCACCGATTCCGGCAAGTGAGGTATGGTTTCTCACCTATTTTCCGAGCTCTAGCTGATGGTTGGGTAGGATTTCATAAATTTTGAGGCTAAGTAGCTCGATCGACGGATTGAAATTCGGCCGGTTTTGCGATCGCGATTCCGGCCACTTCCGGTCAATTTTTGGGGTAAGCCCAAGAACAAAAGTGACTCCAAATTAGGTGTATTACCTAGGGTAGGAGTCTGGGCTCACGATTTGGAAGTTTTCCGGCGATGGGTATCGCTTTGGACACCCACGCGCTGCTGGCGCGTGTGGCGGCGCGTGGGCACTGTAGCTGAGGGGAATTTTTGTCCCATTGTGATCCTCTCGATGTCACGAGCGCGTAGGTGTGCTCGGATCTCATTTTGGATACCGTTAGAGTTCCGAACGGATATCGCATATCGCGTATTTTCCGGGTTCGCTAGGTTTGGACCGTTGGATGGTCCTAAAGTTATAATATGTTGATCTGGGTATTACCAGGATCATGTAGGATTTGACGGATCGTAAAATGGAGTCCCGGATACTCCAGAAATGCCAACCCTAGGGTTAGGGTTTTAGTAACCGTCCGATCGTGCGATCGTGAGCGATCCGACCGTCCGATCTGGACCAAACTTGCAGGACGTGTGTCCTAGACCTTGTAGAACCTATAAGAACTGTGAGATCGGAATTTGGAGGTTGTGGGCCCCGCAGGCCCGTTTGACCTTAGGTTGATCGTGAGACTTCCGAGATAGTCTTACCTTTCTTTGAGGGTTAGAATGACCTTAGTGATAGGTCTTGAGCGTTGTCGAACTAAATGGACATTGTGGGTTTAGGATATAATTGATGAATTTAAATGGGGGAGTTTATGGAATGCTTTATTAGTTGAGATTTATATAAGATTAGAAATTAGAAATTATATATATTTAATTGTGTGGATGTATAATGATATATAAAGAAATTGAATGTTAGTTTGCAGTGCTATATGCACTACCCTATGTACCTCCTCAGATGTAGACAGACCCCGTACGTGGCCGGGTGCGTCCCGACGTATGAGTGGGAGATATGATGGTATGATGGCTGGTGAGAATGTAGCCAGGCCCAGTGTGAGGTCGCACGCGTCTTTGGATTAGCCGGCGTGTTGACAGACCCCGTACGTGGCCGGGTGCGTCCCGACGTATGAGTGGGAGATATGATGGTATGATGGCTGGTGAGAATGTAGCTAGGCCCAGTGTGAGGTCGCACGCGTCTTTGGATTAGCCGGCGTGTTGACAGACCCCGTACGTGGCCGGGTGCATCCCGACGTATGAGTGGGAGATATGATGGTATGATGGCTGGTGAGAATGTAGCCAGGCCCAGTGTGAGGTCGCACGCGTCTTTGGATTAGCCGGCGTGTTGACAGACCCCGTACGTGGCCGGGTGCGTCCCGACGTATGAGTGGGGGATATGATGGTATGATGGGCTGGTGAGAATGTAGCCAGGCCCAGTGTGAGGTCGCACGCGTCTTTGGATTAGCCGGCGTGTTGACAGACCCCGTACGTGGCCGGGTGCGTCCCGACGTATGAGTGGGAGATATGATGGTATGATGGCTGGTGAGAATGTAGCCAGGCCCAGTGTGAGGTCGCACGCGTCTTTGGATTAGCCTGCGTGTTGACAGACCCCGTACGTGGCCGGGTGCGTCCCGACGTATGAGTGGGAGCTATGTGATTATGTTGGGTGTGTTGTGATGGATAAACCCGAGAATGTATGAATTTATATGGATGTGATGGTTTAATTGATATCAGGAGCCAGGATTGATAGGAAAGAGCTACGTGTGGCTTGATCCCTTAGTAGGGTACGTAGGCAGCCTGGGATAGCGCCTAGGTGCAGCCACCACCTAGACACCACTTAGGTGGTTTTATCGAGTATGATGTGGACCTCGTGGTTGGTCCCGAAACTTGGTTGAATTGAGGCTTGTCCGATGGACTGAGTAAGTGAAGGTGTGTATGGATGGATTTTGAATTGGTTATATGCATGTGTGATGCAGTAAGTTATTTTGAAAACAGTGTGGGCAGTTTGTTAGAATCATTTGAAGGCCGGAGGCCATTTATGTAAATTGCATGAGATTATATTGTGCGTGCTGCTGGTTGGATTATAAAATGTGTTTTATGCAGGTGGAAATTTTGGGAAATGTTCAATTTACAGGGGAGACTCTGCCGAAATTTTGGCAGAAAGTCTCGTGCCCTAAATCCTCTCTGGTAAAAGAGGACATAGTTTTAAGGAGTAAACCCGGCGTGGGTGTGATGCCGGGGTCTCCGCAGGGTTCGTCTCGGGTTCCGGGAAATTCGGGGCGGGTCCTGTCATGAAGTTCTTTTCGTTTTGAGAGAATAAAAAGCACATCTCTATTGCTATGTTCTGATATATTCAATATCAATATGTTCATATTGAAATGTTTTTTTTATCATCTATAACTAATTCCTTTTTTTGTTGTTTAATCCAATAGAATATAAATAAAATACATTGATTGTAGTAAGTTAGATCATTATATAGTTTTTGCTAAAATATGAAAACTATGAGAGAATATTTGTTTGTGGGAATTTTCTGTGTATTCTTCTCCTTGTAGGATGTCATATTTATAATACAACGAAACCTGAATGGGCAAGTAAATAATAAATTTCTAAATCTATTTCCAATAGGAAATAAAGAATTAAAGGAATTCCTATTATAATTATAATATGAATTCTTGGTGTGTAAGGAAAGTAAGTCAATATCCACAAGTCACGCCAACCTGAATGGGCATAGATGTCGCCAATGCCCAACTGATCCAGTGAATTGTGGAATGCTTTACTGGAGATCGCCTTTGTCAAAATATCCGCCAATTGATCCTCGAATTTCACAAAAGGAAACTGAAATACTTTAGCCTCAAGCTTCTGTTTGATGAAGTGTCGATCCACCTCAACATGTTTAGTACGATCATGCTGAACCGAATTCTGTGCAATGGCTATAGCAGCCTTGTTGTCACAAAAGAGATTCATTGTAGATGTAGGTTTATACCCAAATTCAGTAAGCAACTTTCTTAACCAAAGAAGTTCACAAATCCCTTTAGTCATGCCTCTGAACTCGGCTTCTGCACTGGATAAAGCTACTACATTATGTTTCTTGCTCCTCCATGTCACCAAATTACCTCCCACGAATGTGAAGTAACCCGATGTGGATTTTCTATCTGTTACATTACATGCCCAATCTGCATCTGAATAACCATCAATATTTAGATGACCATGCTTTGAGAACATAAGTCCTTTTCCAGGTGCAGACTTCAAATATCTAACTATCCGAAGAATTGCATTCATGTGGTATTCACTTGGAGAGTGCATAAATTGACTGACAACGCTCACTGCATAAGCAATGTCTGGTCGAGTATGTGACAAATAGATCAATCTTCCCACTAACCTTTGGTATCTTTCTTTGTGAGTTGGAACTTGATCCGGATATTCTCCAAGATGATGATTCTGAACAATAGGAGTGTCCGCAGGCTTGCAATCTAGCATTCCTGTGTCTGTCAACAAGTCCAAGACATATTTCCTTTGAGAGAGAAATATGCCTTGCTGCGATCGAGTCACCTCAATTCCCAAGAAATACTTAAGTCCACCTAGATCCTTCATCTCAAACTCTATAGCCAGATAGTCTTGTAGCTGTGATATTTCCTGTTTATCATTCCCAGTAATAATCATATCATCAACATAAATTATTAATGCTGTTACCTTCCCTTTCCGATGTTTCAAGAACAGAGTATGATCGGAGTTGCACTGTTTGAAACCATTGTTCTTCATTGTCATGGTGAACCGTCCAAACCATGCACGTGGTGATTGTTTCAACCATACAATGCTTTTCGTAACCTGCAAACTGTTTCAGTCTGAATAGTATTATAACCAGGAGGAATGTCCATGTACACCTCCTCCGTGAGTTCGCCATGTAGAAAAGCATTCTTTACATCAAACTGGTGTAGTGGCCAATCCAAATTAGCTGCAAGGGACAATAAGACTCTGACGGTGTTTAACTTTGCAACTGGAGCAAAGGTTTCTTCATAGTCTATACCATAGGTCTGTGTGTACCCTTTTGCCACAAGTCTTGCCTTGTATCGCTCGATAGATCCATCTGCATTGTGTTTTATAGTAAACACCCATCTACATCCGATAGTCTTTTTTCCTCGTGGTATAGTCTCCAATGTCCAAGTCTGATTTTTCTCAAGAGCTTTCATCTCCTCTTTTATAGCTTGGACCCACTTAGTATCTTTCAATGCTTCAGAGACCTTGGTTGGAATATGGATAGCAGACAATTGATGCACAAAAGCCTTGAGTGGTTTAGATAGCTTCTCAGTGGATACATGATTTGCAATTGGATACTTGGATGTCTTGCCAATTTCAGGTGAATAACGGTTTGGTGGCTTCCCACGATTTTGCCTAAAAAGTAATTGATATCCAATAGTTTTATCCTCTAAATGCACAAGTCTAGTAGGAGTAGTTACCTCAAGGATATTCTCATGAGATTGGTCTGTTGGTACTGTTGAGTTAGAGGGGGAGTCTTCATCTTGTTGTTCTGTATTGTCTGTAGGTGTGAGACTCGGATCAGAAATATCTTCGTATGGATCAGGTGGGTCAAGTAATTGATCGCTATGAATGGGCGATTGGTCGCTGTTCGGAATAGAGTAATCTTGTGCTCCAGACTCAGGATGATCAATTATTTCTGTACATAGGAGAATTTCTTCGTTTTCCAAGTTGCTCCAATTCTGCTCTTCACTTCGTATCTCCCCCTGAAGCGTAGAATTGGATGATGAGTCATGGAAGAACAGCTCAGATTCCAAAAAGGTCACATCCAAAGTGACATAGGTACGTCGGGTATGATGGTGATAACAACGGTAGCCTTTCTGATGAGTGGCATAACCCACAAAAACACAACGAAGCGCACAAGGATTAAGTTTGCTACGTTGATTTTTGTGGAGATGAACGAAAGCCACACATCCAAATATTCGGGGTGTGAGTACCAAAACAGAGGGCAGAGGTCTGTGTTGCGCAAGCACCTGTAAGGGAGTTTTAAAGGTTAATACACCAGAAGGCATACAGTTGATTAGGTGAACTGCAATGACAATAGCATCATCCTAGTGATGGCGAGGAACATGAGCGCCAATCAGAAGTGCTCGAGCGGTTTCAAGAAGATGTCGATTCTTTCGTTCAGCAACACCATTTTGTTGTGGTGTCTGAGGACAAGTCGTCTCATGGGTAATTCCATGTTGTTGGAAGTAAGTCTGAAAGTCATGATTGACAAATTCTCCACCATTGTCGGAGCGAAGAATCTGGATTTGAGCATTAAACTGAGTTTTCATCTGTTTGTGGAAGGACTGAAAACCGGAAAAAACTTTGTTTTTATTCTTCATCAAATAAAGCCATGTCATCCGTGTACAATCATCTACGAACGTGACAAACCATCGAACACCAGAAGGAGAAGTGACAGGTGAAGGTCCCCAAACATCATAGTGAATTAACGTAAATGGAGTAGTACACTTGTTCGTGCTCAACGGGTAGGGCACACAGTGACTCTTGGCCAAAATACAAGTATCACATGTGAAGTCGGAGTCCTTGAAACCTGAGAATAAATCTGGTATAAGATACTTCATATAACTAAAAGAGGGATGTCCCAATCGACGGTGCCACAACCAGATTTGCTTTTGTTTGCTATCAAAGGGATGCGTCACACTGTTAGCCATGCCAGGACTGAAGTCATCGACATAATATAGCCCCCCTCTCTTAGTACCACGGCCAAGAATCTCCTTAGTGTGAATATCCTGAAGCAAACAAAAACTCGGGTAAATGAGTACACAACAATTCAATTGTTCAGTAAGCTGACTAACGGACAACAATTTAGTATATAAAGATGGAACAAGTAAAGTATTAGACAGTGTGAGAGAGGATGAGAGTGCACAGTGCCAGCCCCTGTCACAGGATAAGTAACACCATTGGCATTTGCAATACAGGTTCGTCGAGGTTGTGTAGTATTCAGAAAATCATCAGGATCAAACGTCATATGATCAGTTGCACCGGAATCAATTATCCAACTCCTGGAATCAATCTTAGCGGAAGTATGGAATCCATAACCAGTACCATTATTGGTCGTATTGCGTTGTCCTCGATCTTTAAGAGTAGCCCACCAATCAGGATAGCCATGCAATTTAAAACAAGTCTCACGAGTGTGTCTCGGATCACCACAATATTCGCAATCTGGTCCATGTGTTGGGGTCGTTAGTCGACAAGTCATAATCTGTGCAGCGGAAGATGTATAGGATACAGGTTTAGTAGGAATTCGGATCGGGATCTGAGCCTGAGTCGGGGTCGAAGTCGGAGTCGAAGTCGAGATTGGGGTCTGAATCAAAGACAAATTCGGGGTCGGGGTCGGGGTCAAAGTCATCATCGGAGTGGGGGTTGAGGTCGTTGTCGGAGTCAAAGTTGGAGTCGAGGTCGTCGTCGTCATAGTCGGGGTCGGGGTCGGGGTCATCAAAAGAGGATCCTGATTCAGGATTAGATTCGGGGCGGTGGTTCTACCTCCATGAGGGATGAAAAAATCACCAACCCTCATAGCAGTGGCGGGGGTGTGAAACTAGAGTCAGCAATTCCAAGATCGCCGCTCTAATACCATGCTAAAATATGAAGACTATGAGAGAATATTTGTTTGTGGGAATTTTCTGTGTATTCTTCTCCTTGTAGGAGGTCATATTTATAATACAGCAAAACCTGAATGGGCAAGTAAATAATAAATTCCTAAATCTATTTACAATAGGAAATAAAGAATTAAAGGAATTCCTATTATAATTATGATAGGAATTCTTGGTGTGTAAGAAAAGTAAGTCAATATCCACAAGTCAAGCCAACAGTTTTCGCCCAAAAAAAAAGAAGATCATTATATAGTAAAAAAAAACATTGTACCTCCCAATTGCTGTATCAATCTTTATGTTTTTAATGTATATGTTTTTTTTTCTAGATGGGTGACAACAATGAAGAGACTCAAGTTCCTGAAACCCAAATTGAGGAGGATAACAATCCTACACCAACTGAAAATGATAGCAATCCTACAGTAATTGAAAATAACAACACATAAGCCACCAGTTCAACTCAAGATGCTGTGAATAAAAGGAAAGGTAGGTCTCCTGCTTAAGAATATTTTGAAAAGAAAGAAATTCGTGGTCAAATGAAAGCTGTATGCATTCATTGTAAGAATAGCTTAGGCACAAATAACAAGAATGGGACTAGACATATACTTGATCATGTAAAGTCTTGTCTTTATAAGAGACAAAGAACCATAGATCAATCAATGTTGAATCCTACAAAGTCGAGTGATGGGACTGTCAAGCTTGGTACTTATAATTTTGACTAGGACCATGCTAGGAGGGCACTTGCAAATATGATTATTTTTCATAAATATCCATTATCAAGAAAGATATATTTAAGATTTTTGAAGTTGAGAGGGAGAAAACAATGAAGTTGTTAGATACCAACAGAAGTAGAATTGCCATTACAACGGATATGTGGACATCGAATAATCAAAAGAAAGGATTCATGACTATCACATCAAATTTCATTTATGATGCATGGAATTTACAAAGCCGACTAATAAGGTAAATTTATTATATTGTTCTTATTTGAACTAGTAATACTCTTTTTTTTAAAAAAAAATAATAATTAGATTGTAACTTATTTGGTTTTTATTGTAGGTTTATATATGTTCCATGTCCACACACAACGGATGTACTAGGTGATGCTTTATTGGAATGCATGTTCAAATGGAATCTTGACCGTAATTGTTCTACAAATGATTCCATGATTGCGATAGTGTTAGATAAGATTTGCTCCAGTTCATTTATGTTAGATTGACATTTACTCCACATGCGGTGTTGTGCTCATATTCTAAACTTGGTGGTGAAAGATGGCTTAGAGATGATTAAAAAGAGTATTAAGAAAATTAGATACAGTGTGGCATTTTGGCTAGGAACCCAAAAAAAGAGGAGAAAATTCTTGAAGCGGCAAGACAGTTGAGAGTTCCAACCTCCACAATGTTATAACTTAATTGTAAGACTAGATGGAACTCTACATATTCCATGCTTAAGACTATAATGATATACAAAGATATTTTTCCTCATTTGAAGCATCGTGAGCCGTTGTACAAAGAAGTGCCTAGTGAAAGTGATTGGGCAAAAACAAAGGAGCTTGTTGATAAGTTGGCCATGTTTTATGATGTGACTATGCTTTTTTTTTAGGGACCAAGTATCCTACCACCAATCTTTACTTTAAGAATATTTGTGCTATTAGATTAGCAATTTATGATTGGCTTAATTCTGAACAAGAAGAGGTGCAAGCAACAACATTACATATGCAAACAAAGTTTGAGAAGTATTGAGATATAATGCATGATTTGATGGGAGTTGCAAGTATTTTGGATCCAAGGTATAATATGAAACAAAATGAATTTTTATGCCCTCTAATATATCCAAACAATGCATCCCAAGAGATTAAGAAATATAAAAATATTCTCTATGACTTGGTCAAGGAGTATCAGTCAAAATCTCAACAAAGTCAGTAGGTGCAATCTAAATCTTTGATTCCAACTTCTTCATCTAAGCCATCTATGCCTAAACTTGATTTGGTAAAGCAATTGGATGTGTTTGTTTCTCACTCCACTACCTATGGACATGTTAAATCCGAGTTGGATTGTTATCTAGAAGAGTCTCTTTTACCTAGAAATGATGATGATAATTTTGATATATTGTGTTTGTCGAAATCAAATGGGATCAAATATCCTATTTTTCATGATATTGCTAGAGATATTTTGGTCATTTATGTATTCACAGTTGCTTCAGAGTCTTGCTCTAGTACTAATGGAAGGATTATAAGCCCTCATCGTAGCCGGCTTTAGTAAAAAACAGTAGAGGCAATGATGTGCGCTTGTGATTGGTTATGGAGTGAGATAAGAAGTATTGAAATATTTTTGTGGTTATATTTTTCATATTAAGTAAAACATTTTATTACTGTTTTCCCTTTTTTTTTCTTTTTTTTTTTAACGATTAGCTTCAAGCTCTAATGAGAACAAAGCTAGAAGTGTCACTGTTCAAGATGAGGAAGTTGATAATAATGAGGAAGAGGTAACATTCTTATATTTTATAGCTCTCTTTATTTTTTTATGGGGTTCTTAGATCTAGGTCCAAAACAATTAGCTGTCATTGGGTTTAGTCCACACGTTTTTGTTTTAGATGTAGGTCCTTTGACTTTTATTTCTCTTTTTATTGTGTTGATTATACCCTTTGAGGTAAATAAGGAAAACATTGAAAATCTAAATTTAATGAATTATTTACTTGTAATTAAATTTCAGAATTTAAATTTGGAATTCTTTTATTGATAATATTTACCTAATATATGGGTAAAATACAAATTAATCAATGAAAGTAAAGGCCCACATATTATACTAATCAATTAGGCAAGCACCCACATTAAATTATGTACCTAACATACAAGTAAATAGTGTTCTTATTGGCAACAAAAAAAACTTAGTGATAAATTGTGTTACCTATAAGTCATGAACATAAATTAGAATACTACCTATAAGTTAGGAACATAAATTAGAAGACTACCTATAAGTCAGATACAAAAATAGACAAATAAAATTGTATGTTACTTATAAAACAATGTACATAAAATATTATTATTCATTGTCTAAAATATGAAAAAAAAAGTAGATATACCTTTGCAATAGGCAATATGACAATATACTTACACCATAGGATAATTTATCTACAAGTGCTCTACCATAGGGTGAACAAAAATAAAAATAATTACCCCTACAACTTTTCAAAGAAAACGAAAGGGGAAAGGAATCTTGTAATATGGAATGCCATGATCTTGGGTCACATTCAAAATTATCAGCATGAGGAGGCTTTAGAATTATATGTGGCAATGTGCAAATTGTCAATTGACCGTACAAGATCAACATTCCCTACCATAGGGTATATATAAATGAAGAAAAAAAGAAGATGGGGAAAGAAGAAGATAGAGATGAAGAACAAGAAAGAAAAGCATGCATTTGGTTAATAAGCTAAATTCAAGGAAAAAAAAAATGAAGGTTTGACATTTAAATTCAAAATGTAATTATTCCTTTAATTTTACATGATCAAATCTAATCATTAATGGCATATAAATTCTCACCGTACTCATTTTAGACAATAGGGACATAATAGGAACAAAAAATTTAAATACAAATCAGTTAAATACAAAAATTTGAATCAACATGTCAAAAATGGAATGAAATCTACGTGGCAAACTAGTCAAAGGACTTGTATCAATAAACAATAATTCGATGACTAGACCCAACTATTGGTTGGATTTTTGGACCTCTATAAACTTTTCTATTTTTTTTAAATGGATTTTTCTTATATAATGGCCAGTTTCTTATTTTATTTAAATAAATTTTAATGTGTATTTTTTTTTTTTTTTTTTTTTTTTTTTTTTTTTTGGTTTTTTTTTTTTTGTAGGAGTCTACCATTGAAACAAAGAACATCTCTTTGTTTTTTGATTAAAGCTATGAATGATGAAGCACAAGAGAGTTCATTGAAATTGTGAAGTTTTATTTGATGATAGAATATTGTTAATGTTTATTTGGGATTGGTTTTCTAATTTAAGACTAGATGGATTTGTTGTACTTATTGAAAAAGTTTCTAAAGATTTAGATTGAGAAATTATTTCAAGTTTTGTGTCCTTCTTCTTTGCCTTGCTGAGAAATTATTTTAACTCTACATAGGATGCTTTTGATAAGAAACAAGAAATATCTTACTAAAAATCAGGGATTGGGGCGGGTATGGGAGGCACCTCTCCGACGGGGACGGGGACGAGGATTCTCCGAAAAGCCTAAACAGGGGATTGGGGTGGGGACAGGGATGTGTACGGGGACGGGGATGGTATTGTCATACTCAGCCCCTAACAAACCCATTGCCATCCCTACACCCAATGCATTATTTTGATCTTTGGCTAAGTCTTTGTTGAGTCATAGGTTATTGTTGACAAGGTGATGTATATATTTATATTTTTTGTCATAACTGAATCCATGAGTGCACTAACATCTATGATCTTCTCATTACTATATATATATTTATATATTGGTGTTGATTTTCTCATTTCCCTTTTGTCCACTTACACTGCTTTTTGTTTTTTAATATTTTTTACTATAACATACAAGGGAGTATAAGTGAACAAAAGAAAAGTTGAAAAATCAGCTTCCTTTTTATTTTATTTTATACAATCGATATTGAGAAATGAGATTTTCTCACACACATTGTCAAGATACTATCGAATTTGAACTTAAAACCACTAGTCTGCAAGTCAATGCATTTTTTTGCTAGGCCAGACCACGTTGGCTTATCATTACTATTTTATGTAATTTACAAGAAGCACAAACCATATGCATTTTGCACCAAACCTCCACTTCATAGAGTTACTATACTTTTTCTCACTAAAATCTATAAATAGAAAAAAAAAAAAAACAAAACAAAAAAAAAAAGTGAATTCCAATATTTATCACATATTTTTGTAGCCTAATAAAATGTGACATTTCTTGTTCGGTTGGATTCATCCCACATTATTAATTGTAAGAAATGACTACATTGTTTGCACCAAAAAAATACATATATATATATATATATATATATCTATATGTATAAAGTAAAGGGTAGAAAATGGTGAAACATTCAAAATACCAAAAAATACACTTGGTTAATTCAAACATTAAGAATTGAAATTATTAATTAAATGAGGATAATATATTAAATTCACATTTTTTCATATTAAAAAAAATTAAAATTAAAAACAAAATCAAATAATAGGTCATACTTTTATAGAACATAACTACCTACGTTATCTTTTCTTAATTCCAAAAATAAAAATAAAAAATAAAAAATAAAATCAATTGGCACATGCGTGAGCATGTGCCAAGGGGCTAGTATATATAAAACAAAAGACAGAGAATAATGAAACATTCAAAATACCAAAAAATGACATTGGTTAATGCAAACATTTAGAATTGAAATTATTAATTAAATGAGGATAATATGGTAAATTCACATTTTTTATATTTAAAAAATTAAAATTAAAAGAAAAATCAGATAATTGATCCTATTTTTATGGAACAACAACTATCCATTTTTTTTTAATAAATAAAATAAATTTAAAAAAAAAAAATAAAAAAAAAAAACAAACAAAACTCTGCAGGTGCGAATGTGCATGCGGAGAGGCTAGTATATGATAATTTATTGGATAAGATGGAATTTCACAAATTTTATTTTTTAAAAAATGAAATGTTACAGTTTAAACTAAAATTTCATTTTGGTAAAATTTAAAAAACAATGAAAAGAAAATTGGCCTACATATTTTTCTATTACCGTAAAGCCGTGCCACGTGTTCGTAGCACAAAAAAAACTTCAACGATATCTCACGCCGTCCGAAATCTTTCAACAGTTTTTACCAGTTACCTCAACAGAGTCGCGGTAAATTCCCGAGGTCTTTGCTGTTGTAATTTTAAAAAAAAAAAAAAAAAAAAAAAAAAACAAAAAAAAAAAAAAAAAAAAAAAAAAAGAAAGAAAAACACATCGTTTTATGATTTTTTAACATCACTATCGGAGTTTCTGTCTTTTAGGGTTCGAAAGTAGATTCGATCGTGTCGCAAGCCTTCTCGATTTTCTCACCCATTTTTAAATTTATCCTAATTATTTCCGCTAGGGTTTCGTTTTCACTTGCCATTTTCGTCGATTTATTGAAATGGAAGGCGTTTCGCTGCTCTAATTGGTAAGTTTCTGCCCCCAATCTTAACGTCGGTAGGGCTTTTCCTGTACAATTTTAGCTTCTGCAAGTAAAATCGCTAAAACATTTTGAAACATTTTGTTGTGTTTCTTATTAGAGTGAGTTAAATTAGCTGAAATTTTGTTTCATTTGGTCTGACTTTGGTACCATTTGCATGATTTTTAGCGTAATTTGGTTGAATTTGTTTTTACAGTAAATAAAATGAGCGGGCATGTCGTAGGGAGTTTAGATTGCTTGGAGGGTTAATTATTTTTGAGAAATATTTATATAAAATTTGGGGGCAAATGTTTGCTACCAACATGGATTCGGCGCGGGATGTAGGTGGAGCTCCAAGCACGGTGTTGATCCCAATGCGGTTTGTGTGGCCTTATGGAGGCAGAAGTGTATTTCTCAGTGGTTCATTTGCACGGTGAGACTCAGAGTTTTTGGTCCCAAATATTATTACTATTTGGAATTTGATTTCATGTGATTTGCTAGGCTGCTTTTATTTAGTTAAATTAAGTCATTTGTTTCTGAGTGTTTCTAAATGGGATGTTCTTCAGCAGGTGGTCTGAACTTATTCCTATGACGCCGGTTGAGGGTTGCCCCACTGTGTTTCAGGCTATTTACAGCGTAATGCCTGGATATCACCAGGCAAGTTTTTCCTATTTGAATTAAAGCATTTGAGTTTTTATATTTTCATGAAATGATGTGCTTTCACCTTTGAGGCGAATATGAGTAATAGTGTTAATACTGACATTTTTAAGTCTACGAGATGTGGTAGTTGATATGAATTCTGGGCAATTGGCACACAGATGTATACATGAATAGATAGGATTAGTATATCAATATGACACAATTTAGAATGGAGCATTTCTTATTCTTTTGTAGGCATGCTTATGTTAAGTGGATCACCATTTTGGGATTCTATGGGTTGGAGTAGTGATTGAATGCGTGAAATTTTACTAAGCCTAACGGATGCCTGTCATTTGATTTTAGAATGCTAATACTAGGATGTTCTACATTCAATAAGACTTTTAAACTATTTTCATCAGAGTCTTACTAACTTGCACATGTTTCTTTTACAACAGTACAAGTTTTTCGTTGATGGAGAATGGCGACATGATGAGCACCAACCTTATGTGAGTGGTGAATATGGGTTAGTGAACACCGTTCTCTTGGCTACGGATCCTAATTTCTTTCATCCAAATGTAACCCCAGAGATAACTTCTGGATCTAATATGGAAGAGGATACTGAGGCCTTTCGGCGTTTGGTAAGACTCATTCATTCCTTATCATTTAAGATTACAGTTACCTGGAAAAGTTTAACCTCTTTCTGTTATCCTGTATTTCCTTAAGAATATGGTGAACTCAGAGGTTCTTTAGCATTATTCCATCCATGGCTGATTGTGATTTGAGAAACTAGGATGCTCAAATATCTATGCATTGCTAAGTTTTGGACATTTTGAACCTTGCAGAGAGTCCTAGGGGCTACTTGGGCATGGTCTGAGTCACCTTTTTTTCCCAAATAAAGAAAATTATGTTTTAACCTAGGAAAAATCGTGGGTGTGGTGTTTCTTTGGTCGTTCTTGTATTTTAGCATTCATTTATGCTCCTTTAAGCTGTGTTTATTTATCTATTTATTTTCAGTTCTTTCTTCTTCCGTGAGTTATTATCAATAGTGGACTGGGATTCTGAATTATAATGCAGGTCCGGATTACAGATGGTAATTTAACTGATGTAGTACCGAGGATAACAGAGGGTGATCTGCAGGGCTCTCGTCATCGTATTTCTGTTTTCTTGTCTGCACATACCACTTATGAACTACTCCCCGAGTCAGGCAAGGTTTGGATGTCTTTTCATTGACCCTCCTTTATGCATTCTGCATTTGGTTGTCTGTATGAATTTGATTCACTATGAATTAGTTCCGCTCTTCACTTTTTTAATCACATCAATTTCACAGGTTGTCGCCTTGGATGTTGATTTGCCTGTAAAGCAAGCATTTCATATATTGCATGAGCAGGTATATACAAAGGAAAATGCTTTCTCATTTTTTTATTGAGCCATGCTCTGTATTTTTTATTTTTCGAAGAGGAAATTGATGCATTGTAGTTGATTGTCATTTTTTATAATGGGCGTTGTGGTAGTTTAAAGTAACTTATATTAAGTTATAAGTTATAACTGGAGGATCCCTCAAGGTATCTTTATAGGTCCTTGGGCATTGATGCCGTAATAATGGAAAAGCTCCAAAATGTAGTAATTGGTGTTTTTTCTTTAGGGCCCTTTGTTCACATGATTCCACCCTTTATATATAATTGTTAGTGTTGATCTTTTATTTGATATTCTCATGTCATTTTTGTAAAACAATTTCAACTAGGAAATTCACCCAAGCTCTCCTAGTTTGCTGCCAAAGTTGCATGCAACCTTGCTTATTATTTTTGACATGCTTCCTTGATGCTGGTATAAAGCTTGCATATGCATATTTCTGAACCAAGCTTTTTTTTTTTGTTCTTTCCAGGGAATCCCTTTGGCGCCTCTTTGGGACTTCAGCAAGGGACAGTTTGTTGGAGTTCTAACTGCATCGGATTTTATATTGATATTAAGGGAGGTATGTTTGCATCTGAAATGGTGATTTTTTTTCCCTACTGGCGAGTTCTCCAAGATGCAAATTTCTCATTGTTGTTATTTTAAATTCTTATCCAATTCAGATGTATTAATATATGGGCCCGCCAGTCTCCTATACTTTCATTTTTTGTAATGTATATTCTTAGAAAATTGTGAATCAGACTGTTGTTAAACTTTGCCGAACTATTGATATCTTTATTTTATTGGCTAAATACTGGTTAAGTAGGACTTTACTATTTGATAGTTTTATGTAAAATTCAATTTTCACAAATTATGTGCAGATATTCACATTTTGAGTGATGTATGATACTACTTAAAGTGGCTAACTTACCTTTTATCTTTTAGCTTGGGAACCATGGGTCTAATTTGACAGAGGAAGAGCTTGAAACACATACTATAGCTGCATGGAAAGAAGGAAAGCATATCTAAACGGACAAATTGATGGGCATGGGAGAGCATTGCCAAGGCGTTTCATCCATGTGAGTGTTTTACGTGACATATTTCGAATCTCTGGCTTAAAAATGCAATGTGGACCAGTAACCTTAAAGGATACTTTTATAGTGTGTGCATTTGTGCTTTGATGTAAACATTCTCATAGTCATATGTATACTCTCGTTTGAGAGTTTTGACTTGCTATTTTAATGTGTGGTGATGCATAGTTTGACAACAGAACATACCAGATATCTTGCAAGAGAACATTACCCTTTATATAATTTATGCATTTCATATTGCACACAAAATATTTGTAATCTTTTATCTTAGGCATTCATGCATTAATAAGGTCTATATGTGTCCATGCATATGTGAAATTATTAGTTCAAGATCTTCTTTAAAACATACATGAAGAAAGCCTTACAGTATTGCTTCTTGAGCACAGAAGCAGTCTACCTTCATCAGTTGCACAATGGAAACTTGTGTATGACCATAACGAGAAAAACCAATGTCAATGCTAAAATTTGAAACGATATGGTAGTGCCAGAGACACATGAATGGGCTATTTTACCTTCTTAATCTATACTGACTTGTGAGCCCATATGGTAGTTAGTTCCACTTGTGTTGATAAAATTTGCTTTGATGGTTCATTTATGAATTTGTCTCTAGGTTTTTCTCACTGTTCATGTAGTTCTTTTTTTCATTGGAATAATGGTCATTCTTTGTTCCTTGGCCACACTATTTATTTATTTTGCAGGCCGGGCCATATGATAATATGAAAGATGTTGTTTTGAAACTTTTGCAAAATGAGGTTGCTACGGTTCCAATTATTCATTCATCTTCAGAAGATGGCACATTTCCACAGCTATTACATCTTGCTTCGCTGTCTGGTATTTTAAAATGTAAGCTTTCCAGAATCTTGTTATGTAAGACCATATGTTTGGTTCTTAATTGGTGCTGATGAATCTTAATTTTCAGGTATTTGCAGGTACTTTAGGCATTCTTCTAGCTCGTTGCCCATACTTCAAGCACCAATATGTGAACTTCATGTGGGTACTTGGGTTCCGGAAATTGGAGAGTCAAATTGTCGGCCATTAGCAATGTTGAGACCAAGTGCTTCACTTAGTGCAGCATTAAACTTGTTAGTGCAAGGTAAGCTTTGTGTTTTGATCTATAGCTTGGATGTTTTAAAGTCATGATGCAGCAATTGCATATACATAGGCTGCCTTGTCCAATGGATAGTGCACAATATCCATGCATTGCATTGTCATGCACGGCTTGCTCTTGTCAAAGTGGAATCAAGTTATCTTAACAGGTCTTGGATTTAAGGATTTTCTATGTTCAATTTTTTGGTCATAAATGCATAGGATGGATGACTTTATATGTAATTGGATTTGGGTGGAGGTGTGAGTTTAAGTAGCATCCAAATTTGAGATATAGAGAGAGAGAGAGAGAGAGAGAGAGAGAGAGAGAGAGAGTCGTTTAGACTTATATTCCCACATCATGCTAACTCATACTTTTTTGGGTTTGCCTTGCAGCTCAAGTAAGTTCAATACCTATTGTTGATGATAATGACTCTTTACTGGATATATATTGTCGGAGGTTAGTTGTACTCTATTTGTATTTGATTACTGATTTTTGTCTTGATTCATTGTATTTAAAAATTAGCAGGCTTTTAATGAACCATTAGTGATATTTCTCCATTCACATCTTCTTTACAGTGACATAACGGCTTTGGCTAAAGATAGAGCATATGCACATATTAATCTCAATGAAATGACTATTCATCAGGTAATTGCTGCAATTTTCTTCCCCCATCCCTGAACATATTTATTTCCTAGTGTCCATACATTCTTGTGTGCGTCATGAATGTCTTGTGGAGTGAGAGTTCTTCAGATGCGCCAGATTTCTGATCAATTATTTATTTTGGGGTTGGGGAGATTTAAGATCATTATTTTGAGAATTATAAGTTGTGGAGTAAGGGGGATTTTAAGATTTTAGGTGGCTCTTCTTTCAGTTTGAATCAGTTTGAAGGATTTTTTTTTCTCTTTGGCATTTTCTCTACATGTTTATATATTTTGGTGGAAGAGATGGTCTGAGGTGTTTTGGCTTCAGAGAAGCTTCAAGGGATATCATCTTAGTTCTGCTATTTTTTTTCTTTTCAGGCATTGCAGTTGGGACAAGACTCTTATTCTCCCTTTGAACCAAGAAGTCAAAGATGTCAGATGTGTTTGCGCTCTGATTCGCTGCATAAAGTGATGGAGCGATTGGCCAATCCAGGTATATTCTTATTTCTTCCATTTTTATTTGGAATCATCTCCTTTTCTTTCAGGTAAAGACAGTAGTGTTGTGATGTTGAGTAAAGATGTAGTATCCTGATCATATAGAGCACCATTTGGCCAGCAGATCTTTCCAGAATTTTTCTTTGAACTCTTTGAGTCCAATCAGTAGCTGTGTGCTCTTGTTCAATCTTTGGGTGGCTCCCTTGATAACTTAAAAGATCTCCAGCCGCTGAACTTCCCTCATAATTTGGATTTCAGGTGTCAGACGACTTGTCATTGTGGAAGCTGGCAGTAAGCGGGTTGAAGGCATTGTTTCACTAAGTGACATTTTCAAGTTCTTGCTTGGTTAGCTCCTCAAAGCTGTAGTTGAAAAAGGCAGAGGGGGTTTGTTTCAGTGGTTCTCGACGCCACCCATGTCTTCCCAACTGTTCATTAGAGGATCCAGTACCTTACATGGTGACTTGGTCTGGTTTCATTCAAACATACAATTGGATTGGCCTCATTGCTTCGCCTAGTTTTTTAGAATTTTAGGCTGAAAAGAGGCCTGTAAATTGCGAGGAATTCGTTTCCTCTGAAATTTGTTGGTCATCCCCCTCCCTTTATTATTTATACATTGTGCTGCTGATGTAGATGCGATGTTACTGAATGGCAGGTTCCTTTATTAGTTTTCTGTTGAAATTAGGGGAAAAAATGCAGAAAATGATGCAGTGGAGGAGGAACGCAATGAACAATTGAAGTTATTGGGTTCTATGCTTACTTCTTGTCATGTAATTGGTTTTAGGTTCATCCATATCTTCTTGTGGTTTGATCTTCTTCAGACGTATTGTAAGTAGCAGGCAAATGGAGAACTCAATAAAGTGAACCATATCATGCTGTGTATCTGCAAGCGTAATGTTGATGAGATTGTGGTATCTGGGGTTGCATCTGATCATTTATTTGTAAAATAAAAATAAAAATAAAAATTGAATCCCCTAAATTCTCACAAATCTAGCTGGGATTTGATACCTTATAAAAGAAGTTTGTTATTGTTATTGTTATTTTTGCCACTCATTGTAATATTTTCTTTGGCTGGAACTCGTTGTGTATTGATACAAAGAAAATCTTTTTAAAAAATCAATGAGGTATAAGAGGGTAACTCTTTAATTTTTTTTTTTCTGAGAACTAATTTAAAAAAAAATTGCAGAACGTCCTTATATACAATTAATAATTTTCTTTTTTATCGATTGAGTATAAAAGATTCAAATGTGGAATTTCTTAACGTTGGAAAAAGAACCTGAGCAAGTGGGTTTCTCATACACGTGGGACTTATTTATATTAGAGAGGTGATCAATAATGTGGTCAATAAAATGTAGACCAAATAACAACACTCTGCTTAATAAAACTATTCTATTCGTTCTCACTTCGCATGGCACGCTTGTGTGGATTTTTTTTTTTTTTTTTTTTTTTTTTTAAAATTAATAAAATTTTTTTATTTAAATTAAAAAAAATAATAATGGGTAGTTGTGTTTCATAAAAATAGGATTCATTATCTGATTTTTCTTTTAATTTTTAAAATTTTTTTAATTATGAAATGTGTGAATTTATCATATTATCCTCATTTAATTAATAATTTAAATTCTTAATATTTGCACTAACCAAGAATATTTTCTGGTATTTTAAATGTTTTATCATTATCTGTCTTTTGCTTTATATAATTATATGCCTTCTTCATCTCTTCTGCTAGGATTTTTATTTCCGCTAGAATTATATACCTTCTTCATCTCTTCTGGAACTCGTTTTGCTTTATATAATTATATACCTTTAAATAATTATATAATTTACCTTATATTCTTCTTTTTTTGTCAGAAAAATATGGGGCTTATTTTCGCGCACAATTAGAATATGAATATCAAAAGTCATTTTTAAAAAGTTTTATTTTTCTTTATTATTTAAGAAATGAGAATTTGAAAATTTCTGATTAGGAGTGACCCAAAAGGGGCCAAAAAATCAAAATTTAAAGGTTTGATTTGTGTTCTTTTTTTATCTGAATCGGAGTTGTGATTAATCACCGGCCGGCAGAGAGAGAGAGAGAGAGAGAGAGAGAGAAATGGTGAAAGAAAGAGGCGAAGAGTTAAGCGAAGAAGAAAAGAGAGCTTTAAGAGGCAGCAAATTCGCACCTCTCCCATCGTTGCCTCCTCGCTCCCAACCCCAACCCAGGTTTGTTTCTTTCATCTTCTTCATCTCTTCTGCTAGGGTTTTTATTTATTTAATTATATATCTATCTATAGGTTGGCTCATCCTGGGGGTCCATTGACGACGAATAAAGCAGCGGCCTTGGCGAAATTTCTAGAAAGGAAAACTGCAGGGATCAATGGATTGGACAACATCAACCCGCATCTTGTGGAACGAGAACGCCCAGAACGCCAAACCGTCACCAGTTTTGCCAGTAAACTCTCACTTTCTCCTTCAATTTTTCATATATAACTAACTTCACCTACATTATTAATTTTTTTCTTTTTAATACACTAACTCACTAACATTTAATTTTTATTTTTAAATAAACAAAAACTGGTTTTTTTTTTTTTTTTTTTTTTTTTTTTTTTTTTTTTTTTTTTTGGGGTTGGTTATCAGGTGGGGCATCTAATTCTGGAATAACCATACGACATGTTGACTCCTTTGGTGATTCTGATTTTGAGGTGATTTTTTTTTTCTTCTTCCCCAAGTTCTGCTTCCATTTTGATAAGAATATCAAGATTGTCTTACCTCTTTGATTGTTTTTATGAAATTTGCTGTAAATATGCAGGACTCTCTGCAACGAGAAGAAAATGTGGAAAATTCTAAGCCCAAGAAGCTGAAGAAAAAATTAAGAAGAAAAAGAGAGTGAGAAGAAAAAGAGACAAAAGGTTAGTAACTCATCAGAGGGAAATGTGCCATTATCATTGATGGTTTTTTTTCTTTCATGATTTGTTTTGTTCTTTTGTTGCCTCTTTTGCTACTAACTTGTGTTGAGCTGCAGATAATGGAGGACTCTGGTTGTGCTGTGGTAAAAAAGCCCAAGAAGAAGAAGGTAGGATTGTGATTACATGAGATTATGGGTTTATTTTGGTTCCTGGAATTAGACAGAGGCTTCAAATTCAAGGCTAGTTGGAAGATTTGAGTTGTACAATTTTGTACCAAATGTTGAGGGTCAGTGCAAAGCCATACAAAGAACGTTTGGATTTGTTTTGTTCTTCATTGCATTGATTGTTTGTTATTGTCAGATTGAACAATTTCAGCTTTGTACACTTTGAATGGGGGAATATGAGGGGGATCCATTTTTCTGATTGATGCATGGATTTTCCTTTCTTTTTTCTTCTCCTTTTAAATGAGAATGTTCTTGTGATGTGTGTGCTTGTAGAACTTCATACTTGTTTTGAGCAATGAAAGCATTGATCTCTGAGCATTTATATTTTGGCTAAAAGTCACTTTTGGTCTCTGTAGTTTGGCACTTAAATCACTTTTGACCTCGTAGTTTCAATTCCCTCAATTTTGAGCCCTAATATGAAATGATGAGAGTTTCAAACAAGAATTTATACTCTAAGGGTTTTGGGTTGATGAAATTGCCACTGGCATTGTCAAAGAAATTGACAAGAATACAAACTTTTCTTTGAATTATTACAAATACGAAACTACAATAGCAAAATTGATGAAATTAAACCTACCAAGTCAAAATGATTGAAGTGCTTGACTACAAAGACCAAAGGGATTTTTGGCCTTTGTATTTTCTATCTTTTCTGTCTCATCCGAAGCGGATAATTACTCACTTTCAGTTTAGCTTCATTGATCTTAATACCATGTCTAGGAGTTGGAAAGAGAAGAGAATGGAAAGGAAGGATAATATTTTGTTGCAAACTACGCCGTTCAATTGGTAATTTGGACTACAATTTCAAAATGGAAAATTTCCCCACCAAAAATAAAAAAAGCATTATAGCTGAAAATATAAGAAAAAAAAAAGCATGAGTACCCTCCATCAATAGTTAAGAATAAGATTGGCAAATGTTAAATTATTTGGTACAAAATGCTTTTATTTTAAAGATTTTAAATGTAAAACAGATCACGTGAAATGATGAGGATTACACTCATCAATTCCTTTGGATGGCAGAAAGGAAATACGAAAAATAAAATTGCAATTACCATTATTGTTTTTTTTTAATAACAGAAACTCTCTTTTACAACATTTATATTTTATACTATATACCACCTCGTCACAAAAAACAGCATGAACTTCATGTGCTGATAATGTTTATACATACAAAACGCTCAAGATAACCTCTATACATGTATTGATTCTAGTGATTAAACCAAACATTGAACATTACATATTTAGGCAGAGTGACTATGTAGGAACGAGCGCCATTATCTGATTCCTAATAATGCCCATGCACTTCTGTATTTCTCCGTAAACTGAAAGGTTCTGGGGACAAAATGGCTGCAAACTAGTAACGGCATGATCTAATACCTGGGCGACATCAGCTGGTGGAAACTGTCGTGCTGTACATGTCTGCAATTCATGTGGTAAACAGATATAAGCTTCCTATCAGCATAACAGCGAGAGACAAAATTACCATTGAAACAAGTAATGACTTGATAACAACAAACAAGTCATAAAACAAGTGGAAAACACTTGCATGCAAAAGGTGCCAAAGAGGATAACCAGGGAGGAGATTTACCACAGCAAAATAATGCAACATATATTTAGTTACCTGAATCATCATAAAAGCTGCTACACAATTTACAATAAGGTCTGAAAGGAGTTTTTCTTCACTTTGGTTGGATAGATTATTTGACTTTGGAGGATCATGTGCACACCCAGTTGCCAATGGTTTTGATGTACAGGAAGTTAACTGATCCTGGGAAAACGGAATTGGATCTGCAGGGGTAGTGGAAGATCCCATTGCTAGCATGCCAGTATCATCTGAGAGCCGGTTACTTACAAAGTCTATACCTCCTCAATTTTGTCAAAGTTATTTTCCTTCCTCAAGTATGAGAACGCCTGAAATAGTAATTGAGATGACATTATTGTCAGAGTACAAAAAGTAATTAGCGTTCAAGCAGTATAGTTGTCATGATAGATTTGGTCATAGCACCAACTTCCTAGAAGGCCCCCAGGACATAGAATAACAGAGCACAAAATGCCCTTTCCATACCTGCATAGCTGCATCAACCATTTTGTGAGCTTTTGCTCTTGAACTTTCAACAATTTCACGCATATGAGATGCCGAATCTTGAACATCACAAGAATACCCATAGGAGTTTGAGTGGCTACCAGGGCCACTTAAATTGTCCACGGGCGTCACAACTGTATGCGGGGAGCTCCCTCTATACGTATTGCGTTGTCTCAAGCATAAAAGGGCAGAAGAAACCTGCACATGAAAGGAAATCGCTTCCTTCTCTTTCCTCTCTCTCACTCACTCTCAAATAGTCACTTGATTGCTGCATAGTTGTAACCAAGATGCCACATGATCGAAGGAAAGGGAATGAAGCAACAGATGGGACGATGGATACCTGGTCATTGACTTGACTCAACTGTAAGAGTACGCAGCATATTCCTTTTTAAAGGGCTCAGAATCCCTGATAGAGTTGTCTTCATCTCTTTGGTTCTCAAACACCTCATCATTCATGCGCCTCAACTCAGACACCCACGGCTTCCTACAAGTTTCAACACGATCTGTCAACTCAGTTCCCAAATACCCACATCGACAGGAGTTGAATAGGTACAATCACTCGTTTCCCTTCAAATACAAGAAATTTTTCCAATCGCTAACACCTAAAATTGATATAGAATTATGTATTAGAACTTCACCTTTTGTCAAGTGCGCGAGTCAACTCATATTAGCTTGCACATCAGCTTCTTTTGCTTGGGTCTGTGCAGGAATTGAAGGCTGATAATTTGCGACTTGTGTACTAGCATTTCACCAGGCCCAACTTTAGCTTGCACATTAAAACTTGATGACTTCACCTAACCAAAACATTTCCTACTTAGATAATAGCATATAATTATTCTGCATTTTATGTTTTCTATAAGATACAGCAGCAATGTAAGGTCAATGGTTCAAATACTCAGCAAAAACACATGACAATGGTCCTATGCAGATTCAAAATTTCTTTCAAATCTTCTTGTGTCATCAAGACATTGATATGCTTGGAAGAATGCTCCTCTTATAATGGGGGCAGTTTCATGGTCAGATACTACAAGAAGATGCTTGAACATTAATATTACCAATAAAAGGACAGACAGGCACCTATTATAAGATTACAAGCCATCTTGCACGTGAATATAAAGTAACCACAATATTTTTGGCAGCTCGAATCACACACTAACCCCTGTCTGCTTTGATGATTTATTGATACGATGATTTGATGGTAGAATATAACAGGGAACAGCAGTGCTCACCAGCTTGTCATTAGAGGAAATCTTCATATATCCTTTAGTCGTCCCTCCTTTCAGTTGTTCATTAATCTTGAGCTCCTTAAGGTTCTCAATATATTTGTTGACAGTGACATTGTGCTTTCTGAAAGAAGCAGGTAAATTTTCTGCGGGATGTAAAGGCATGCAATCAACATCCTGTGATGAAAGTCAATACACCACGCCATTAAAAAAGAACAACAGGAACTACAAACAGATCCTATATCTGCTAAAAGCGTTCAAACAAGGGTAACAATTGTAAGCTCTCATGGAAATGAAAATAAAGAAAGAAAACACAAACAGGCTGTGAGAATTAGATTTAGTGCTAAATGACACAAAGAAAAGGATGCCGCACGGTTTTTTTGGCCTTGATGCAACATGTTCAAAGGCATAAAAACTCTTACAGTTTCTTGATTTTTTAATAGAGAAAAAGAAATATATCCAATATAAGAACAATTTCTAAACGTTGACAAAAGAGGGCTATCCAAGTGGTGCCAACAGAAAATTTCATCCATAAAACTTCCAAATTATTACTTCAGTTGAATGCTTACAAATACTTATGGCAGTTATCCCAACCGCTCTTCAGAGGTATTAAATTTCAGAGATATCAGAACCTCCTTCCCTACTTCCCCTCCCGCCTCTATTGGCCACCAAAGAAAGTTCCTCCCATGAAGGTTTTAACAAAATGAAATATTCTCCTTAACAAAAATACGTAATTATGTCATAAAATTCAGTGAGGGAAACTAATTACCATGATATATTCAACCCCTAGTTCAGGCTGGTCAAACTGCACAGAACACCTACTATGGTCGACGGTTAGTACAATTCCATTGTGGATCTCTCTTGCCCTGGGATGAAAAGCAATGACATGCTGTCCAACTGATAAGGGCCGAGCTAAGTCAGTCGGAAGTCCCTCCCTTGTACCAGCATTAAGTTCAGCATAATGCGTTCTAACAGATTCCCGGTACTGATTAAGCTTCTCTTTTTCTTCCTTCAAAAACTGTTCAGAAAATCTCCGTGGTCTGCCAAGGGAGCTGCATCAACAAGTACCAACAACAAAATTTGCAGAGATTATCAATATGAAAGGCAGATCAAAACTGGCCAAACAAAAAGTTCCAGTCAAAGAAGCAGATCAGGGACATCTACCTCCTTATTACACCCCATTCAACACGAGTTAATCTTGGAACATGACCCATCCAACATGATCCAAGTATTCCACAAACTCCCTTTTAGCAAACCATGGGTAATCAATTGCACTGTAAAACCATTCAAAAGCACACCATCTCCGCACTTGATACCGAGATAAGCAATTAGAAAGCTTTTCCTGTAAATGTAGATGTACACTTATATATGAAACATAATCAAATATTCAAAAAATTCAGATGGCAATATAAATGATGACACGTTTACCTTAATATTTAGTTCTCTGTTACGAAATGAAGGAACTAGTTTATCAGGTTGGTCATCTAAAATACTCTCAGGAGACTTTGTATCCTTCTGCATTGATGATTTCTGCATGTCCATCTCCCATTTACCCCCAGTTTTTGTAGGTAAGTTGGCCGGGTTTGCAGATGGAACTTGTACAGTTGATAAACCTGAATTGTTTTCTTCCCTTTTACGATCAGTAGTAGAAGATGCATTCCATAGAGTCTTCTTCACCAATTTCCCTTGCTTTGGGTGCGTCGTATAATGTGAAGATCGTTTACCTTTACTCGCGGACTTCTTCACCTCAACTGTAGCCTGAAACCAATTATAAATACCTAAAGTCAAAAGTGATTGTAGGCACATGAAAATTATAAATAAATCAAATTGTGATTTGTGACTACCATAAGAAATGACATGAAACTTTTGAATATTTCGATCTAAAGACTACTGAACTTCCAAAACAGCAACATATAAAGAAAGTTTCACCATCTGCTCTGTACAAAAAACATTTTTTAAAGGATCAAAAGAATGTGCCATTACCCTCTGAAGGTAAGTATGCTAAGCGTTCTTTCTTGGTAGCAAAAAAAGCAAAAAGAAAAAAGAAAAAAAGGGAACACCTTCTAGACTTATAAATTTAAAACATCCAGACTTTTTTAAAACAACCAGAGTAATCTGTAAAGTGAAAACACTGGGAAAAAGTTAGGGTGAAAGGACCCCATACCTCAATCTTTTCATTGTCACTCGCATAGCAGTCAGTTTGAGCTTCATTATATATCTGCAAATAAATACGTCATACATGGTCATCAATTCCTGCCATAACCAGACGGCCCATATGGGGGTAACGCAAGTAAAGCAAAACTAAAGGACTTTGTAGGAAAAGTGTTATCTGTCCTTACCTTAAATGACAATGACTTCTGTTTTCCTTTTTGCAGCCCACTATTAGACTGATGAACTCCCTCTCCGAGTTTGCCCAGTTTAGATGTTTTAAAAGCAGCATGTTCAACCCCAGGAATTGGACGACTTCCTTTCAGTTTAGACTTGTTAGCAATATTGAAATTGTCTTCCTTGACATGTGCAGATGACTCTAAAACAGAACCAACAAGAAATCAAAGGTGAGTCAAATACATCAGTTAGCAGTTAAAGAGGATCTATTAGTAAACCATAATACCGTTAACATCACCCCATGTTTAACTGATTTGTAATCCTCAAGAGACAAAATACATCTGCAGGAACAAATTGACACAAAAGACCCCTAGAACTATTGATGAGTACTAAACAGTACAGCTAAAAAAAGACAAAACAGCTTTATTCAAGCATGCAAAATGTAATTCAAGTTAAAATCTTCATGACACATACAGAGGCTTTGTTTCTTATAAAGAAGATAAAGAAAGACTGATGAGAATTAATAATTCAAATAAAGCCACTGTATTTGATCACAGGTAAGCTAGCTCTAACATGACAAGAATAAGAATGTTTCTGAATTTTGAAACTGAATACTAGAGATATAAGGAAAAATGAAGACATAACTGAACATTAATGAATTATATAAACCTTAAAGAAGGACATGACAAGAGATAAACCCGTGTTCCTAGCAAAACAGTGGTAGAAAATTGTACTTGTCAAAAACGCATGTTTTACCTGTATCACAGCTTCAGGCATCATCAAGGATAGATCTGCCAGAGTTTGTAGTGCATCAAAGGGAGAGCCTTCATCTGCATGGAGAGAAAAGTTAGAATGAGTAATATCTGGACATGCTTTAACAGATTGGAAGACAGAGCAGTCAAATTTAAGATCATATCAAAAATCAAAGTGGAAAAGCATTGCAACCCAAACATCAATACTACAATTTTCAAACGTGTTGGCTTGCATACAATCTAGATATCTTCTAAATGGTTGGATATGCACAGAAAAACAGAAGCCAAACCCAGATGATTGCTCAAAAGAAATACAAGAAAACAGCAACACAAAATAAAACTACCTCAACTGTATCTGTACTCAAACCAAAAGCACCAAACTGGAAATTGCGAAGGAAACAAGTTGTGCAAAAGCATATCTAAATATCAGTTATAGAGGGAAAGCAAGGTATGAAGGGGGGAGGGAGCTTGTCTTAAATATTTGAAAACATACCTCCTCCAATCAGAGCTTTTTTACTTTTCTTTCTTGTATCCTTGTAGAAGGACCTAGCACTTTTCGCAACTTTAGTATCAAGTTTTCCTTTGATAGCACTTAATTTCTGTCCTTCCTCTGTTCCACTACAAGCTTCTTTTATGTCCTCAACATGTTTGTTTTTACTTTCGTCAACTTCTTTCTTCTTTACAAAGTATCTCTTCCTTCTCTGCTGAACTTCCAGAGTACCAGTCCCTTCTCCACCCATTGCATACTTTTCATTTCTGTCATAGTAATCATTGTCAGCTTCAGTGCTACCTAAGCTTAATTCACAACCGCCCTCATCCATTTCACAACCATGGAGCCCGGCATTAGTAATTTCTGATTCTGCACACTAAATGTCAGAAACAATAATGAATGATTAAATTATCATCTTGAAATAAGTCTAGAAAAGCAATGAAGCTTTTTTTCAAATAATAATCTTACCATCCTTTCAACATTCCGAACAGGTGATGGTGTAGTGCCTTTGGCCTTTCTCTTAGGCATCCAAGAAACTAAGGGAGAACCACCTCTATGCGAGGCCTCAGTCAATGCCAATGCTATCTCATGAGCAACATCATTATGTTAGCATCTGCATTGAGTTTTAAACCTTGCCTGGCTGGTGAGAATACTTTCTACCATTATCTTGATCATTAGAATATGCAACAGGGACTCGAGGAGTCCTTTTTTTAACAGCATGAGGCCTTATTCCTGAAACAAATTCAAACCATATTAATGGCAGCACCATTAAAAAAACATATAATGTAAATAGACCCAAGGGGTGCCGATAGAATTTTTGAAGTAGAACCAAGAAGAAAATAGAAAAGTGAAAAAACTAGAGAGAGAGAGAGAGAGAGAGAGAGAGAGAAGAAGTGAGGAGTAGAATAAGAGCAAGAAAAGTTAATCTCATTATAATAAAACTCTTGAATTCCATTACATAGACCCTATTTATAGAGGTAATCCTGCAATAGTAAAATAAGTTAATAAATAACTTAATCCCTAAATTCTAATTTTTATAAATAAAAATTAATTAAAATAAACCCGTTTCCCACTTTTGCTCCTACACCAATTTCTTGCATCCACTACCAATTTCTCTTTTCCAAAGACAAGGGGCAAACATACATAAACAAGAAGAAACCATTGACATTTTCCACCAAGTTGCACTATATTTTCCTATGAAGTATAGAAGCTTTGCTTTTAAATAATAGTGAGAAAATATGACTCGAGCAGCATAAAAAGGCAGAAGCAAAACTGCTTCGGTTCCAAGCCACAAATGAGTAAAGATAACCACTAAGTAAAACACAAATGAAAAAAAGAAACACAAATTATACATGTGCTGACCCAGACACACACACAGATCATAAAAATTTCCCACCCGAGCGCCTATTCTTCAGCAGTGACAAGCAGTCACTAGTTGATGCCATTGGATGGGACTCTGAAAAATCTGAATATGTCCTTCTAATCCTTTTGAGGACTCACTCCGAAGTTTTGACCTTGCATGCTTTTGGGGTTTCCTAGATGTTTCTGCATCCTCATTGTTTTCTTGTTCACTGTCACTTCCTCCCTGTAAGGCCAGAGTCCTCTATGTGAGTTCCATGTGGGTCATTTCCAATACATAGCCCATTGATATCAACAGAAGAGTATTACTAGATCTAACACATATGCACATGCTCACCATGAATGGATATTTCTTAAAGAAGAACTTCATTACAGTTTCCTTTAGCAATATAACCAATGCCAGGTTTCATTTCTCCTTAAAAAAAAAGTTGTATTAACAGCTAGGAAACCCTTCAGTGAATAGAAACAATGATGAAATTCAGACCAGTGAATTTCAACTATTCCTTAGGTTGAAAAAAATGTTTAACCAGCCAACCAGAAAACAAAATAATATTATATATATGTATATATATATATATATAAAATCTGTATCCCTTGACATTCCTTTCCTTTTCATTTTTAAAAGAAATGGAAGCTTTATTGCAATGAAGGATGCAATTATAAAGCAGGGGACATGAAATCCTCTCTAATAGAACAATACAAACATATCCTCATTTAGCTACAAAATTAACTAAAGAAAAGGCACCCAATTTGAAAAGCAAATTACAGGTTGGGGAACAAGGAGTATAAGTTACAGCCTACAGGAGACAATCCAAACCTCTGGTCAAAGATATAGCAAGGGCCTGCACTATTGCCAAAGAAACCTCTTCTTTTTTGTCATAAAAGCCTCCTTTTTTCCCCCCTTCAGTCAGCTACTTTTTGTTTTCATGTTCTTAAAGATTTCATGGCAAAAGGTACAGTTTACCTTCCCCATGCAGTGTTTGCAGAAGTACCAAAACAACTAAACATGGATTTGCACAGAACAAATGAAAACCATTTTGAAGTACCAAAATATTACCCACAAGAATAGTTCCTAGAAGGTAAGTGCACAGATTGATCTACAAAACCACAAACATTCAATCTTACCAGTATACAGTAGTGGTCAGTCATCATTGCTATTAGGCCAACCACAGAAGCAACGCCCTCAGGAAGAGATAAATAGGCCTGAAAATATAGAACAATCCTGAGTCACCCACATGGTACAAATAGGTTATGATTAAAACATAGAAAACACAGGCATTTATTAATCTCTTGGGGAAACGTAGATAATTCAAGATTATGGCATCAACAAAATTTGACAAATTCTAAACACAACTTAATGACTTTACTGATTCTATTACAATTCAAACGTTGTTTTACTTTCATATTAGCTTGGAAAAAACTCAAAGAACGAGACTTCATCCAGCATTGACTGAACTCCATTGAACTGATTATTATGTAGTTCAGATTTTCAGGGAAAATATCTAATTTACAGAGCTCAACAAACTAAAATGGTGCCCAATCTTATACATTGATGAAAATTAAGATCAGATTATTCAGTTTTTCTATAAATAAAAAAAACTTAAAACCCCATGCAATGGTGGACTTGCCACAACTTTGAAACAGCAGAGTTATGTGAGTGGAGGCAAAGCATTCCACTGTGCATAGAATTGCACACACTGGGGATAGAAGGAATTAACCATGACCATACCAAATTTTTTAGACATAAAGTTTTATGCATATGGACAAGATAATGTCCAGTAGTGTTACAAGATAAAATTACAGTATATCCCACACATACCTTATTCATAGAGTAAAGGGCCTCCACCATTTCCACAGATCGGTGACGAACTACAGAAGCCACCTAAATGAAAAATTATAAGTAAATTAGTAAGATTACGGCTGGCCCAAACATGTTAATCAAGTGAAGAGTATCATAAAATTTGTACTAACCTTCTTCCAATCTTTCCCATACTTACGATATGCTTCATAGAAATTCTCTAGCTCTTCCTTGGTCCATTGAGGTCCTAACATGTCAGACAACTTTCTCTTCTGCACATGAGAGGACAGGGGGAAAATGCACACAGAACTGGTTAACAATTACTAATTTTAAGCAGTTCTAATACTTCAGAAGAAATTCGAGGTTTGCTATTTGAGATCTGCATATACATAACGATACGTAAACCGACACTGATCACATAGTAACTTCCTAATCCTACAATGGCAATGCAAAGTTGTTGCTTCAGGAGAAGGAGGAAGAAAATCAAGATTTCAAATTCAGTTTTTGTTGACTAAATCTAGAACAAGTCAGATGATAAACATCCTCAAAACAAAGTCAGGACTCACTTTCTGCCCAGTTTTGTTAGCATTCTCTCCATACTTGTTAGAAGCAGCCTCATTCATATAAGAAAACCGCTTATTTACACTCCTTGATTTTCTTGATGGGGGCCATGGCTAACTTCCTTAGTTACCTGAAACAAAACAAGTAGAAAAGCACAAGTCCACAAAGTCATATTCAAAATGAAGAGCAAGGTCAGATAGTAATTAATGCCGATACCAGCAACAAACTATGCAAGTAATATGTTGGTTGCATCAGATTGTCCTACAAAAGTTTAAGATTGCCTTATCGTCCAAACTTTTCCTACCATCTTTGCGACTTTGACAACAAATTACAGGGAAACCTCGGGTGCTAGCGCAGGATGAGCAGGGAACTTTGGAGAACATAAGCCTTTAGAAATCTACCACAAAGTTCTGACTCATAGTGGGTATAATAACAGACACTTTCCAAGCAAGATCAGTAAATGTATTTTTCACGTATCACAACCAACATTCTCATTATTGAAAAAGAAAAAGCATATCAAGGCAAAAGGAAAGAGACTAATATTCTTCATAACGAAACAAAAACGAAAACAGAATAAGCTTTTATACTTCTTTTTTTTTTAGGTTTTTTGGAAAAAAGGGAAAAAACATTTATTAAAAAAAAACTTTTCCCCACCCATTTTTCCCGCCAATTTAGGTAATAACCTAGGTGGAAAAAAGAAAATCTTAGATCTGAACCACCAGCTTAAAACCTAAGCCCTACTCAACCAGAGAACTTGGGCAGTAGCCTTTGGGCTTCAAGAAGCGTTACACAGAAAATCCACTTTCGAACACAAAACTTCTCATAATTCGAGGCTCCTTACTTAAAAAAAAGTTCGAAAAGATTCTTAAACAACAAAATCGACCCCCCAAAACAAATACACAGAGCCCCAAATGTAACAATTTCGTCCGAGCCGAGGAAAATTTTCCAGTAAAAACAAAAATAAAAGTTAATAATGGACAAAATTGCGATTTCTGTACTGTTCACTAGTTTCTCAGCAACACAAAGATCGAACGAAACCCAAAAATGTAAAGCGTTACCAATACACGGCTTGCAATTCGAAAATCTGATAACCCTAACATAGAGAAAATTCGAAAAGAAAAAAGAGAAATTCACCTCTGGAGGAGTGTTTGCACGCCGATTAGAGCTAGTCCAGGTTCTGAGCGATGGAGTGAGAGCGCATTTGAGCAGCACTGGACCTGAAAGATATGTGGCAGGGTTGAGAAAAAGAAGAGACAGCCGAAGTGTGAAGAAGAAGAATGAGAAATTGGGGGCAGAGAGCCGCGAAATTTAAAACACTGTATCGGAGTTGAGAGAATTTTGTTCTTTTGCCTGGATTTTTCAATTTGTGCACGGTCAAAATTGTAAATGTGGTAACAAAAAAAATAATTCATATGCTAAAACTATTTCTTTTATTTTTATGGCAATAACATTTAATTTGTAATGTATTGAAACTCATAAAATTCATTAACGTTTTAAGAGTGGTTAGTCAAACTACTATTTTTTCTAGTTCCTCATTCTCTTCCTTGTTTTGTCTCCCTTTTTCGAGAACTTTTAATTGTGATTGCAATATCTCTTTTTATTTTGCCCCTTCTTGTGAGAATTTTAATTGGATTGTAACACCATGTGTGTGTTATTAATTTATGGTTACGGTCACAGTTGTTTCCATGGTCTGAAACATTAATGTCAACAACTTTACACAATGATGGCCATTCCACGGTCATTACAACCAGGTCCTACTCTTTGCCGACTTAGGGAAAATGATAGGGGGGCCTCCCCCACTAGGACGCATTTGCGAATGCATGAAGAAATGTGGTAAATTGTGAAGAAACATAGTTAAACACAATGAAGGTTGAAATATAGGAGTATGAAATAGAGAGGAAATTACTTAATTATGTTTTGTAGTACAAACACAGAATTACACGTACACTATGATGATCACTACGCTAATGGGCTTCTTTCACATTACGCCCTCTTAAACTTGAGTGCGGAAATATTTGTAGCCGGATCCAAGTGCTGCTAACTCTTAGATCCCAATTTGCTACTTTGAATTGGAACACATCTAACTTGGTGAATAAATAAACACCTGAATTCAATTTAGTATCCCTTTGTTTTTTTTTTTTTTCTTCTTCTAATTTTTATTTAGCCGCGACTTCCAGTTTTCTTTTTTTTTACACCCCGCTTTCACTCTTGTTCTCTCTCCCTTCAGGCCTTATCCAACCACACAGTGATATATGTTTGATTGTCTTAACGTATTTGGAAAGTATTAAAAGTTTTCAAAAAAATGAGAACACATTTTTGTCGTTATCGTGACGTTGGTTTGGCACATATTTATTGCTTCCTGAACTCAGTTAAATACGATGCACATGCATCGCTACTGTCTAATTGTGACCATCTTTTTAGGTCACAAAATATTTGAGAGTTCTATAGACTGCAATCCGGTTACAGGCCATCTCTGGTAATCTTGATTCACAACCTTGAATTTCTTGGGGCTCGCTTAAATCTGCTACGTCGAGCTGAACGGTACAAACCAACACACCATCTTTTAGGTCCGCAATACATACTTTTTTTGATACCAAAACCCTACAGACTCTGCTGAGTTGAGTACTTCCCTCCTGTGCTTTACGAGCTTAATACATGCCAACCGCCCTAATGTTCAGAGAGACAGCAAAGAGATAAGCCTGAAATAACAGCTACCTCAATTATCAGACAAAGTGTCCACATGCAAGGTAGATAACATCCCATCACAAAATCTTACAATACAATAAACATATATAAGTACGGAGTCGTACCTGTTCAATCGTTTGCCGGGCAGAGAAGTCTTTTGCCCCTTCAATTTACTTGTCTGGTAAATCAACGATTCGATGTATGTCTGTTTCATAATCTGAACCAAAACATTTTTGTGTTTGAGTCCTTCTATTTGAGAAGAGAAGGATGCTTTGATTTGCCTTCAATTTCTCCTGCAGATCACAAGATCAAACAAGAGCACGGCAGCGAAATAATCAAGCCATGAGCTTTCTGAGGACGATATAGGGTTTTGCATATGACGGCCATCTCTGGCATCAAAGCAATTATCGTGGGTGTTCTAGGTCAGGCAGATTGCCCGCTCTGAACCTTTTCCAACACCACGGGTACACCATGGCAACCTTTGATGGGCACTAATGTCTCAAACACAATGATTGTAAGCAAGTCACATATGGCTGCTTAGGGAAATGAGAACACAGGGCAAAAATTATGCCTTCTATATCGTGGGGTGTGTTGTGTGCTCACCTAAGAAACACCTGGCTAGTGCGGGCCCCAAATTGGATGTATGAAGAAAGTTTGAAAAAAAAAAAATATATGGTGAAGAAAAGCGGGTTTCACATTGAAGTAGTGAGCAAAAAAAGGAGGAGTTGAAATATAGTCCCAAAATGGAGAAAAGAAAAGACAGTCGTGTTCGCTTTTACTAAAGTTTATCATTACAATTACAGCATAAAGCAGTTTAGGCCCCAAAAAAAAAAAAAAAAAAAAAAAAAAAAAAAAAAAAAAAAAAAAAAAAAAAAAAAAAAAAAAAAAAAAAAAAAAAAAAAAAAAAAAAAAAAAAAAAAAAAAAAAAAAAAAAAAAAAAAAAAAAAAAAAAAAAAAAAAAAAAAAAAAAAAAAAAAAAAAAAAAAAAAAAAAAAAAAAAAAAAAAAAAAAAAAAAAAAAAAAAAAAAAAAAAAAAAAAAAAAAAAAAAAAAAAAAAAAAAAAAAAAAAAAAAAAAAAAAAAAAAAAAAAAAAAAAAAAAAAAAAAAAAAAAAAAAAAAAAAAAAAAAAAAAAAAAAAAAAAAAAAAAAAAAAAAAAAAAAAAAAAAAAAAAAAAAAAAAAAAAAAAAAAAAAAAAAAAAAAAAAAAAAAACTTCCTATTGTCAAAACCAAAGGATGCTATAATTATCCTTCAATTTCTTTGAAGAACATCATCCACTTTGAGGTCTTCTGTAGAAAAGGCCGCTCTACCAAATCAAGCCCATTTTGCAGGTACTTTTAAGTTTTCCCTTGAACTCTAAATTGTAGGAGATAAAAATAAATGCCTGGACTAGATTGAACGGTAACTTGCAGACGACAAAACTAATAACAAACGAGTGAAAAGAGAAGCGTAACAAAGAAGACCCTATATGTTAGGTAGACCTAGCTACAATTTGATGATGAAGCAAGAATAGGACTGTAAATATAGGTCCCTCTTATAGCATTAGGCTGATATACCCTTGATACATTGGCATTGCCCAGATTCAAATACCCCAAAAAAATTTAGCTTATAATTTCTATACATGAGATTCAATATCTATCGTAAGTGGTAAAGCCACAATCCACGAAAAATTCGTTGAAACCTTTTTGGAAAAATAGTTAGTAATTACTATAACTACGATTAAAGAAAACATTAAGTTCAAAAAAATTGAGCAATATTACTTCTTTGGTTTTATTAAACTCGAACTTAATTGACAAAGGAAGAGAATATTACTAGTTCAAAAAACCTTTGACCCCTCCTCCCCTCATCTCTCCTCGCCAAATCCTTTCAAACCCCGCTTCAAATTTTATGTATCAAAATACACGACGATTGGTTACTTAGGTCACTATACCCTGTCATATTTGCTGACTATAGGAAATTAGCAAGAATTATGCTTTTATTTGTGTGTGTTTGTAGGGAGGTTCAAGGGAGGCATCCCCTTTGCTAAGGATGTATGAAGAAATTATCCTTTAAAATAGTCAAAACAATAGCGGTGTATTTAAAATGGAAAAATATTGGTAAGTTTAAAAAAATATATTATTATCATTTTGAATTTAATAAATTTGGCGAGAATAATTACGGTAAAATGTATGAGAGTTCAGAAGACGGCAATACATATCGTTTTATGTGCCATTAAGTATAGAGAAAATATAATTTATGCATGCATCATTTCACAGGATGTGCTACGATTAAAGGACGATAAGGACTATAGACAGTGCTCTAGGGCTAGATTTTTGTGAATACCTAAGTTTGTCATAGCATAACGGCATTGTACTTATTTATTAGATCGCCAACAAATT